TGAGATTCCAAAAATGTTTATTGACACATGGAGATCAAAGGGATATACATCCATACATTTTAGAGCAGTCAAGTTAGTTCTATCTCTACATGGTAAAAAAAAACCTCCCTATTACAGACTGAATTGCTCTCTTAGACACCTCCTATCTCCATTATGAACATGTTGTGATAGCTACCCTTCTAACTACTCTACATGCTAGAAGTGTTGTCTTAATTATTTTTTTCAATTACAATGTTGCTCTTAAAGACAAAACTTTTCCTATGAGACTAAAAGTCCATATCTAGCTCTCAAGAGCAGAGCAAGTTGAATAAGCTCTATCTGCCACTCTTCCCTACTATATGATATATCGATTACAGAATCTTGCACATGATCTACCGATACAAGGAGCAGCACATGACAACATGTTTGTCATAACCAATAGGGATGAAGATGATGTCCCTTCAATAATTCAAATTCTCAGACAAATTCTTAGAGATGAACTTACCAAAATGATTTCTTTGGAATGGACAACCAATTATGAGAAAATTTGGCTGAATAACAAATCCATCCAGTATTCTGAATTTACATTTAGAAGATAAGTAGATGAAGCTGTCAAATCAATTTTTAAGAGGCCTAATGCAGAATGTAGCCAATTCGCCAACTATTTTCAGTCAATGATGATCTCATCTGCCAAAGGAGAGGACAAAATTCCTATCTATAGTTTCAAAGCAGATGATACAACAATTTATTCAGATAAATTTGATGGCCACTTCCTATGTGATGTTGATCCTTCTATGTGTGATCCTACTTGTGACTGCTAGATGCATACTAGAGACATTTTAGATGAAGAATATGATGATGAGGCCAACTTTAAGAAAAGGAAGAATAAGCCTTATAGACCTCCTCCTTAACCAAGAAAAAGAGATCCTAGATTCACCCCATGGGTAGGAATCAAACAAAAGAAAGAACCTCTACCCATATACCATGAAGCTCTTAGGATTCTAAGAGAAGAAAGATTCTTATTAGAACCTTCAAATAATTCAGATTTGATCACATGACCTCCACCTCCAAAACTTGGTAACACATTCTCTACTCAACAAACAGTTGTCCTAAAACCAATTCCTTGCATGATCGTTTTCAAGTTATAATGAAGATTTTCCTTCTCTTGAAAGGAAAATAGATCCTGTTACTAAATTTAATACTAGACCATTAGTGATTCTCTCAGAAGTTCAACCAAATGGAAAATTAAAGTCTCCATCACAAGCTGAAGAAGTTTTCAACTAGCAAACTAAGAAATATTTAGCCCAAAATAAATTGTTAAAAAAGATGGACAGAAAGATTGACTAGATTGTTGACTTAGTCAACAAAACTGATGAAAGACTACAATATTTATCTAATAAGCTTCAAAAGCACTATAAAGAATCTCAAAGAGAGATTGCTAGATTAGAGCTAGATATTTCGAATCTAACAGAACAAAAGACTGTCTTCACAGAAGAATACCACAAGAAAGATAAAGAAATCAGAAGATTAAAAGAACATATCCAACAAATGGATGAAATTATTTCGCTAAACAACAAAATATGGAGCCTGAGATAAATCCCTTCTTTGTACCACCTCTTGTACATTCAAGCTATTATTCTCCTTTTAGCCCATCCCCTTTCTACTGAAGAGAAACATTCACAGCTCCTTCATACTTTTTCCCTTCTGCATATAGACCAAAACTAGTGTCTATACCCAAAAGCTCCAAAGGAAAAGGGAAGATGAGTATCTCTTCTTCAGATACTGTCAAAACTAAAGATTTAGATTCATTCGTAGATGATCAATCTCCCCCTCCAAGAAAGTCATCAAAAACCAGTCAAGAGAAAATGTCTTTCCAAGGACTGATTACTAAAAGAGATGACACCACTAGTGAATCAAACTATGCGTCTAGAGAAAATTCCTTAATAACATCCAAAGTGAATTTAGTCTTTCTAAAGAATCACTTGGGACAATCTCAACAGAAACATTAGAACAAAATTTTGTTGATATTATTGGAATGATGATGGTCAACACAATTGAATCCAGTAATTTTCGAGGCTCATTTTATGATTTCCCAAAAGAAGGTGAAGAAGAAGACAACAAGAGAGAAAAGAAAGGAACAAAACTCAATGGAGGTTCTTATTTTACTCTTGATGATATCTCCCCTCAACATTAGAGAAAAAGACTGCTTGATTTTGGATCATGGCTTGAAACAAAATTCATGAAAGCAGATGCAAATCCATATAAAGTTATTGAAGAATTTTTCTGTAAAATGACAGACACTCTTAAGGAGTGGTACCACAATCTTATGAGTGTAAAGCAAGACCAATTTTATCAATTGGCCAATACACGCTCAGTTCTTGGAGCAATTCACCAAGAATTTGTGGGAAATATGGATCTTTATGATAAAAAGTTAGGCAAGATTATTTTGAGATGAAATGCTACTCACTAAAGAAAAGTTATATGAACAAACACCATAAAAGGATGGTAGAAAGTTTCTATCTCCTTAATAGGTATAATGATATTATCCTTAAAAACACTTATGTTGCCTCTCTCCCTCAAGAATTACAATATGAGATACACAAGATGATTACTGCTCAAGGAAGGGATCTGACTAATTTAAGTTTCGGATAGATCCACCAGATAACTATAGAAGCTCTTGACAAGCTTTACAGATAACATTTGTTTTTCACTGATGTGATGAATTAGAGATTAAAGTTTTCAAAAGCCAGCAAGAAAAATTACCTTAAAATTAGATGCAAAGACAAAAATGTGTTTGCTTATCCAAGAAAAAAGGGAAGATAAAGATATTTTCTAAGTAAAAACAAAAGAAGATGAAATTATTTAAGAAAAAAATAAAAAAAAGGAAAGAATAAAAGCATGAGATGTTTCATTTGTGGCAAGAAAGGGCATTTTGCAAAGAAATGTCCTAACAAAGATTCCAAAGGTCAGAATTTGATAAATTGTCTAGATCCTGTTGAAGGAGATATTGAATTAAAATATTTAGAACAAGAAGAAGCTGACCAAGACACAGTCTTCGCTATAGATTCTTCTGATAAATTTTCAGATACCACAGATAAAGAGAATGATTATATTCCTCTTTATTCTGCCCAAGAAGTTCAAAGTATTTCCCAGACTCCTTCATAACCTTGTGTTTGCAAATGAGGAGTTATCCATTCTGCCCAAAATGTATTTACAAATGGATAACCCCTCTTTTCTCGCTATTCTAGAATTCAAAAATAAGATGTTGCGTGATCCTCATATTCTCAAACTAAAAAATTGGTTCTCCAGATATAATTTCAATGTCAAACATATTAAAGGAGACAAGAACATAGTCCCAGATCTGCTATCTCGTCCAAAAAAGTCAATTTCTATTGTTACTTCTACTCAGACATATCCATTGATATTTCCACTCAATGATGCAGAAGCCAGTACCAGTAACATTTACCATCTCATGTTTCCTCCAAAGCTAAGTACTGAAGAGCCAACCACTTCGGAATATATCAAGGATTTTGCCTGGAGCCATATGTTTCATTATCTGGCACTCTCTCTACACAACCATGGCATCAAACCAAAACCAACTTGGTTTTATCCTGATGCCCCTTTTTAAAATATTTTTGCATTACTTATGGAGATCCCTTTTCTCGAATAAGATCTCTGGTATTTATGGTGTATTTCTTTGTTATATTATTATCTTATAGTGTTCCTTACTTTCAAGATGTTTGAGTTTCTTCACAACTCTCAGAATGAGTTCACTCTGCTAGGAAAGTTCCTACAATGGTATCAACCTATATCAACTTGGAAAAAGGATATTCAAGCTGAAATGGAGAGAGTCACATTCTGGAAGTATATAGAAGAAAATCTGCCTCCATCAAAGTTCCCTAAAAATGTCTTAGTGGCCATTTTCCATGGGCCATACTTTTAACATCCCAAATCCAAACTGTTATATATACATAATCAAGTTTCATTCTGGAATACTTATAATTGTATTGAAGAAGTCTATGAGCCAGACCGACCTCCATTTAATCAAGCTAAGTTAATCGTCCATCTTCACACTATCAATGGGACTCGTGAAGAAATGGTCAAGGTAATGTCTACCTGTACCAATCTTAAGCTGATAAATGTCATTTGCCCACATTTTCCGGATGATGATCATATGTGAAATAAAATTCAACAAATACTGCCACCTGTAAGAGCATATTCTGATCAAATAATGGACTAATGGGACAGAGAAAGACAAGTAATCCCACCATCACTCACAGACATGATGATCGATTCACAAGATCCAAATGAAGAACTATTAGACATGTGTGAATCAGAGTCAGATAAGCTTGTTAAAAGTCCCTTTAGAAAAGTATCAGAATCTTATCTGATAATATTTGTTTGTGATCATGCTATCTTTTTTCTATCCTCTATATAAGGAGGAACGTTTATTTGTAGAAGACAGACTAAATTAAAATAAAACTTATTTTTCTATTACATCATGTGTTTTTTTAAATTTTTCTCTCTGAAAACTTTATTTATGATAACTATTCATAAATTTAAATTTTTAAAATTAGTTTAACATTAGTTATAGATTAGACTTGTAGAATTGAATTTTTTCTTAAGCTTAACTATTTTCAATTAGTATTTTAATAAATAAAAAAATTATGAGTTTAATTCTTCAAATTGTGAAAGCATACTTTTTTAGTTTTTAAATTTATAAAAGTTATATTTTGATCTTTAATTTTATAAAATAATATTTATTTTAACGTAAAGCAACAATAAAAATAGATTAAGAATGATTAAAATAGTTTTTTGAATATTAAAATAAAAATAAAATTTTTAATTTTAAAAATTAAATTAATTAACATGTATAAGTTCATAGAGTAAACCTAGTCTTTGTTGCAAAGTTTGTAACCCGTTGACGTTTGGCGACCAGCGACCACGACAGAAGGAACTTATTTTTCCAACGCATTGACGTTTCGAGGAGGGAGTAAAAATGTTGGAATGCTGAGATTTGTAGAGTGAGTGCGTGACTCGCAAAAGATGTATGGTCTGGACCATTGGTGACGTAAGCGAAAAACCCCTTAAACCCTTCCCATTCCAAACTCTGAATTCATTCTGTGCAAAACCCTAACCACTTGGGTTACGAAATTTCCGCTAAGAGGCAGCGCAATGGAGGAACAGAGTGAAGCACCGGACAACAGAGAACTCTACGCACTCTTGAACTTGTCCCCGGAAGCATCCGATGAAGAAATTCGCAGAGCGTATCGTCAATGGGCGCAAGTTTATCACCCCGATAAATACCAAGCTCCTCACGTATGCTTCCTTCGCTATCTTTCATTCTTCTTATTTGCAGTTTCTTCATCCGTTTTGTTTTCTTCTATCAGATGAAAGATATTGCTACAGAGAACTTTCAGCGCATTTGCGAAGCGTATGAGATTTTGTCAGATCCAAATAAAAGGCAAATATATGATATCTATGGCATGGAAGGGTTGACTTCTGGTTTGGAACTTGGTCCGAGGCTGAATAAAGCTGAAGAGATCAAGGCAGAGCTTGAGAGACTGAAGAGGATGAAGGAACGGGAAAAAATGGAAGCGCATTTTCGATCCTCTGGTACAATTCTCGCCAATTTGTCTTTGCCACACTGTATAAACGGTGTTGGACTTTTCAGAGGGTATTGTTCTTTTCGTCATAGTTTTCTCTTAGTTTTATCACTCTGAATGTGGTTGATGATTAACTCTATTAAATAAATAACCACTTCAATTTGACAAATGTAATATTTTTTTTTTTTTAGTTATATATTGCTAAAACATAATACATTTTATAGAAGTGGTTTTAATGATATTGAGACTCAATGTTATTGTGATCAACTTGGGACAAAGACTGAAATGAAATGTACTGGAAGATATCATGCCTCATGTTCTTAATATTAGTTGCTTGTTACAATTTGTGTTTGGCTATTTGTTATTATTATTTCATGTGGTTGTTTGTGACTTTTATTGTGTCTCTGATTATCAGAATGGCTATGACAAGTGAAATCCAGTCTCAGTTATCAAAGCGTAATGCTGTTACACTTGGTGGTAATTTAGGAGTGAATGGAAATGAAGGTCATGGAGCTGCTACTGCTTTATTTAGCCATCAACTCTCAGAAGTTTCGTCTTTAGAATTTGTGGCTTCAGTCGGTTTACGTGCACTTATTGGGGTGCAAACGTCTCGGTGGGTAATGTGCATTTTATATATCAATTTGAACACTGCTCTTTTGCCTGTTTTTGCGATCTTTTATATGTTTCTTGTGCATCATATTCCAGTAATCTATCATCACACTCAGCTGCAACTATGAGCATAGAAATGTCTTTGAGAGATGGTTCATTGAATCTTTCAAATTTATGGACCCGCCAATTGTCAGAAACAGCAAGAGGACATGTATGCTACTCTGTAGTCTCTACCTCTAGCCTTTTTTTATACTATTCAGTGACTTGATAACTAGCCAATGGATGCAAACCTGGGATGGCTGAGATGGATATTTGTACATAGCATGGTGTGGAGGGTGGACAAGTATAGATAATCTAGTCAAGTATTAAAAATCAGATTTGTAGTGTTAACTGTGAAATTAATTACTTGTATTCTAACTAGATGTAACATTTGTTGATACTAAGATAGTCAACCGTTGATTGTATCTTAACATTCATCCAGAAAAGCAAGTTCAATATTGTATAAGCAACAAATCTATTCTGATTTGATTTTGCAAAAACCCAAGGGAACGATCTATCTTTATTTCCAAATTCCAACTGGTGGGAACATAGCGTTTGGGATTTGGTTCCTCTAAAATGAGAAAATGTGTAAAGTAAGTATGTATCTACTGTTGATTTGAATTTAAGCCTTTATTGCATATACTTAACTTTTAAGTCAAAGGTATTTAGGGCTCAGTTTTTCACTTCACACATTTTCTCACTTTAGAGGAGTCAAATCCTAGTTTTTGAACTTGTAGTAGACACATTCATTGACAAACTTTGTGCATTTGGTACTTTCAAAGACCCAAATCCATAATGCAGTGTTGAGCCATAATTTGGCCATAATTCACCAAATGATACGAGCATTTTAAGTGTTGACCATTTTATAGAACAACAATGATGATTGGGGCTTTCATGTTGCGTTGAGATTTGTGAAATGGTTCTGCAATGTCTTTTATCTCTAACCACCCTTCTCATCTGTGTTACAGATACAGCTTACTTTGGGATCACAGTCATCTATAGCTGTAGGGTGGCAAAAGAAAGATGAGAGAAGGCTTGCCTCTGGAGAAGTGAAGGTACCTCTATGTTTTCTGCATATTCAATTTTGAGATTGTAATTTTATTTTCTGAAAATAATTTTTTCTTCTCGTATATTCCATCTTTCTAAACCCTCCAAAAAAGGGAAGGAAAAAAAAACCATGACAAATTTTGTACTTCTCTCTTTTAATAAGGCCTTAGATGTTACTAATGTTTTAGCACAATTAAATTTCATCTTTTCCTATCCTGAATTAACTCTTTCTCAACTTTAGTTTGGCACAGGTTCTTTTCATACATCAGTTAATTATACACATCGTTTTTCTCCTAAATCTCATGGTTGCATTGCTGGAAGAGTTGGGAGGTATGTTCAATTTGATTAGATGTAAATTTAGTTGGGGTGTAATTTCCCACTTTTGGTTTTGGTTTTTGGGGAAAAAAATATCTACACTTAGATTTTTGTTGCTAAATGCTCAGGGTTTTACAATGTTGTTGGCAAAGGATTTTATAGCTGTATCTCATTTCAGTACCTGATTACATATATATTTTAGATTCAAATCTTGATGCAAAATCTAGCTAATTTGTTTGATTATTTCTGTTGTTTGTTTTTTTCTATTTGTCTTAAGAATGTCTTATTGAAAAGAAAGGGGAAATTATTGGCATTGCTTGTTACAAATTCTTTGATAATTATTCTAGTATCGTAGCTTATATATCAAATTAACAAAATAGCTTTTTCGTATCCCATGAAATTAATATGCCTTCTCTCTATTTTTTAGGAATGTGCCTTCAGACTATTGACTATTCCATCTATATCATACGCTTTCTTGTATTGAGTATAAATTTTACTGAAATAGCGTTAGTTTCTTTTAAAAACCCTTAATCTAAACTTGTTTGGTTTCTGAATTTTGATAGACATCACTGGTATTGGTCAATCCTTCTAGTCAACCTCACCTTGTAGGAAAAGGCTTGGTTGGTCTATTTATGCTTTATCGACTTTCTCTATTATGCATTTTTTTTCTATTAACTCCAAATTATTTTATGTAAAATTGAAATTTTAAAAACCTTTTGTCTGTCTTAAATGGTTTGTAGAATCTCGTATACTGCTAATTTTACTTGAATCTTGTAATTTTGTTTTGACTGCTTATGGTGATTTTGCATGATCATTTGCATAATTATCTGCCATATGTTTTAGTTACTCATTAACAGTTATGATTGAATTTATTTGCTTGCTGTCTGTTTTGACATTATCTCGTAGTTCTTCCCTTGAGATTGAAGTTGGTGGTGGGAGGAAATTATCAAAATTTAGCACTGTGCGCTGGTTGTATATAATAGGAATTCAGGTAACATTATCCGAATTTGGCATTGTTAATGGCTTTTAATTATCGTTCATGTTTATTCCTTGTGTCTTTTTTGTATGATCAAGTAAAGCAGTTTAGGCTATGGATGAAATCTTGCCATAGTTTCTATTATATAGAATCAAAATGCCCTTTGACAGGAACCTTCTATCCCAAAAGTTTATACTGTGAGGTGTTGGAGCTGCTTTTTACTTCTATAATGTCTATGACTTAAACATGCCCCCTCATGCAAGATCCTTTTAGGTTTGAAGTGTGGACACAGGTCTACCTGTCAGTTTTGAGTGATGAAAGGCAGTAATGTACTGAACAACTAAATTCATTGTGAGCAAAGCCTATGTATGCTGACAAAGACCAAAACTACTTTGAAACCCCTGGCTTCAAGCTCTACCTACCCCAAACCTGGCCGAAAAACTTGTGTACACAAACACAAAGGATTACAAAACACTTTTTTTTTTTTTAAATTGCGTTGTTGATTCCTATTTTTCATTGTCATCACCTAACCTGAAAAAAATCAGCTAAAGAACTAAAAGCAGGGCAGCATGAAGACTTTAGAAACATGTTGGTCCAGAATGTTAGTGGGATTCACATTCTGTATGTTTTTCTAGGATATAAAAAGAAAAAACAGAGAGATTGGAGAACTTAGATTTTCTCATCTTCCTTGTTTCTCTCTGCCTATTTGCTAAAGAACATAGGAACAGCAAGTCAAATTGCCCTTAGATCCCTAGATGGGTGCTGCTATTCCATTGTCGTCGTGTTTTAGTGTAATGGTCGTTGCACCATGAATCATGGCAAAAAGCAAAGCAAATCACGGCCCTAGTGGCCACTATTTCATCCTAGGGCAAAAGGGTAAGTTTTCCTCTCTCTCTGAAGGTTGGAATGCTTTTTAAGTGGGGCAATTTTGAGATTCCTGCCCCCCTTTGATATGTCAAACAGGGGCAAAAAGGTAAGTTTGCCTTCCCATTTTGAACATTGGAACCCTACCTCCATCTCAAACCCTACTTTCATCTTTGTTCTTTCATTTTCTTGCTTTGTTCTCCATATCCGACATCACTTTCTAGTGCAAGTCGCCATTTCTGACCAAGTTCTAGTTGTCTTTTTCATCTCCAACGAAACCCACTTATTTCTAAACGTTAGCAGAGACAATTTCCAGTTGTCTTCTTCATCTTTAGTGTAACCCAAGCTATTTCTGACGAAATGTAGACTTTTTTTGATGATAGTGAGATATTTTTTGATAAGACCATTTGTGTTAGAGCTTTTTCCGGTGACTAAACACTTTTTGATTTATTTTCTTTCTTTGTTTTGGTTATCTTCGGAATAGCGGTCATTTTGCTATTCTGCTATAGCATTTTTTGGGTCGGCTGCTCCGTGCCGCTATCCGTGATTGACTGTTATGATAAAAAAAAAATTGAATCGAAGGTATTAAATTTAAGATCTACTTATCTATTGTAGACATTGCATGAGATTATTCTTGCAGATGTAAAAGCTATGGAAGGGGAGAAGTTTCCTCAAGCACAAAACAAAAAGAGCAATGTGATGCCGGTGGGATATCTAAAATTCCACTTTTTGAGGCAGAATTTCAATTTCCTTGTCTTGGGGGATAAAAGTCTAAAATTCTAGGATCTTAGCTTAATCATCAAAACATTTAGTTTTGGATAAGATATTTTAAATGGTCCAAATTATTACTTCCCTCCACTTCCCTATTCAAACTCTCTGAGACAATATTCCATTTTTATTGTCATATTAATGGTTCCTTGGTTTCCAGTTTAACCCATGGAAATAACTATTTTTTTAGATCCCAATTTGTAATCATTCCTTCCCCTCAGTCAAACATTTCCTTGTAATTTGTTGGCAATCTGAAGTTCAATGCAAGATGATACTATTTTTTCTCATTTAGCAGAATTTGTTGTATTAGCTGTCTTACATTTGTTTTTATTCCTTTCAGGGTATTTCCTGGAAACTTGAACTCTATCGTGGGGGTCAGAGGTTAATTATTCCTGTAAGCACAATCTTGATTCTTTACTTGTTTAGCTTGGTAGATAGAAGATTAAATTTTGGGCTTTGTCCTATATTCAGACATATCATGTAAAATGGTTTGTGTGTATGTTCTTGATTGTTGAAATGCTCTAAAGATCTAGCTGAATAGAACTATGCTTTCTTAGAGAAGCAATTTGTTGTGATAGTTTTCTTGACAGCCCCTGAAGCCTTTTTTAAGTGAAATAAATTTATTCTTAAGGTAAAAGTCTTGTCTTTTTGTATTTGTTCTATTACTTGACCTTAATCTTACTCTCTTGCTTTGTTTAAAGTTTAGATGCCTTTGTGATCTTTGGTATTGTAAGACAGCATATACTTGCTGAGAAATATCTAGATAATATATCTTTTATTATTACCTTAAGCTTCAGGTTATATTGCAATTTCAATTTGTTCATTTGACTTTGCTTCTAACCAGTTATAATGAGCTATTACTTGCAGATTTTGTTGACAAGGCATTTGAACCCTGTATTTGCTACTGGAGCATTTGTTGTTCCCGCATCTCTTTACTTCGTTTTGAAGGTGAGTTCAAATCAACTTTGCTTCTAACCGGTCATAATGTTATTTGCTTCTAACCAGTCATAATGTTAGTGCTCTCTGCCCGTTTATTTTTGTGAAGACTGAAGACCTATAAATATTTAAAATCAATTTATTGGTAATATGTCAGTTAAGAGAAAAATATTTTGTTGTTGTAATTTGTTTTCCTCTGAATAATGCTAGCTAATTTAGATTCCTCACTTTTCCTTTGTGCTGAAGAGAGCACAATTCCAAATGAGCTATCATTATACGGTAGGGTGATATCCCCAAGTTCTATTAACACGGTTTTGTAATGAACAAATCAAATGAACACTGTATTTATAATAATGGTTAATATGCTGTAAAGTGTGGTTATTTAGAGTTTAATTTTGAAAACAGAAGAATAAAAAAAACTAAAACAGTGAAATGGTTGCCAGGGTGACAATGGGGGTATGGGTGAACGTATTTGACCAACTTAGTCAAAGAATATAGCTAGTTGCAGTACCTGGCAATAGTTTTTACTATCTAAATTATGGGTGCCCCTTTTTCTAGTTCAAAAGGTTATTAACTATTTTTGCTGCTACTTTTATATTACCTGTCTAGTTACTGCATTACGATACGTAAAAGTTGAAATGTTGGGCAAGCTGGGTCTATACATCTGTCAGCTGTATTTTCTTTGGGTGATATTTTTGGTACTATTATCCTCTGATTTAAAACTTGTCTCACGGTCAACTTGCTGAGCATGTGGATTGGCAGGGGGACTGAAACTTTGCACTTATGAATTCACTCATGTATGCTGTAGCATTAGTACAAGATCTTGATCACTACTCATACCAAATATTTCTGATACTGAAACACTAGTAGGAAGAAAAAATATAATTACTTATTTTGTGGCTAATATGACAGTTGCCTGTTTGGTTCATTGAACTGTTCTGATGATATTTCCCTCGTTCTTCTAATATTTGTGTTGTGTATTTGTAGAAATTTCTTATTAAACCATATTATCTTAGGAGGAATAAGCAGAAGGCTTTAGAGAAGGAAGAGAAAACTTCTGCTCAGGTATGGGTGATTAGTGTGCTTAAAGTAGTGGCGTTGGCTATCATTCCTGTATATCATGCAACTGCTATCCTCCTCATGTAATTTTGTTTTTGCTGTGTGATAGCCATGATCATATACGCTCTTTTAACTATTTAATATATGCTTCTTGCCATTGCATGGCACACCTTCATTTTATTACAAGTTCCAGACTATGGAATATGGATGAACCTGTTCAGTAATTAGAGTCCAAAAATGGTTTTGTTTAACCATTCATTTCAAATGTCTAAGAAAATTCTTTATGATTTTATCAATTTGATTGTTATATGGAGTCAGATGGTTGCAACTATCATCAGTTATTCCACTGTCTGAGTGTCTTTTATGCGTTGCCTATATTTTTTAGGCAGTGTTTGGGAAGTCCTCCGTTTGACATTTGGTATGTAAGGTGCCCTAACATGATGCCTAGAAATGCTAGATTTCTGTTTCCCATGCTTGTCATATAGTATACTGGGCAATCCAAGATAGTGACTGTTAAATATCCAATTACGCTCCAAATAAGAAAGCTATAGTTTGGGTAACAATTTTATGTACTATCAATCACAAGTTAAATGCACTTCTGAGAATTGGGGATCTTTAGTAATTTTAATTGTCATACAAACATGCGGCCTTTAATTCCTGTATATTTCATCCCTAAATATCTCTTACTAGTTCAAGATACCTAGGCAATTAGGATTTTTTTTATCCGAGTGCCTTGTTATTGTTATAAGTAGTGATTGTTGAAGATCAGATGCAGAGTCAGTTTGATTCATGCTTCATGAATCTTTGGGATGAGTTAAGTTTCTATATTTTTTGAACTTGAAACATAGCAGTTGTCTTTATTATTTGATATGGTATGAATTCTTGTACATATAGCACATATTGAAATTGACTTTGGAGGGAAACATACCGACATCTCTCATCCCTTGGTGAATTTCATTGAAGTTAACATCCCCCTCTCCCCCTGGGGGAAATATTTGTGCAGGTTCAAGAAGCAAGGGCTGCAGCAGAGAAAGCGCAGAAATTACAACAAAACGTGGCTCAAAGGAAAAAAAACAGGCAATTAGAAACAGGTGGACTGGTTATCATGAAAGCGCTGTATGGAAATCAAAAAATTTTGGGCAACTTAAAATCGTCAAGTGAAACCAACTTAGAATCAACATCAGAAGTCATCGATGTTACAATACCTCTGAATTTTCTAGTTAGTGATTCTGGCCGACTCAAGGTATGTATCCATGCTCTCACAAAATTATTCTGAAATCTTGGACGAACAATAAAAAAACTGTGTAACCTTCCTTTGTAGTCCAGGGAAACTGCAAAAATCTACTTGAAAGGTCTCTCAAGTGAGAGAGAATCCGCTGGGAACTTAATTATCCTATAAATTAGATTTATAAGCCGAAAGAAACAACTACTTATAAATCTTTGAATTTTGAGCCTTCACGCAACTTGGTATTATTGTGGAACTTCTGGCCGATCTTTAATGGCTATATTTGTCATAAATTAATATTATATTGCTGAAGCATTGTGACTTCAAATTTAGTCTTTGGAAGTGCTGATTTTTATTTTGGCATAATGAATGTTCTATTTGTTGATGCAGCTTCATGATGGTGTAAAAAAATCAGGCATCATGGGCTTTTATGATCCATGTCCAGGAGAACCTAAACAGTTGTATGTAGAGTACGCTTATGCTGGCAATCAACACAAGGTATTCCCAGTTACTCGTTACCGATTCAAAAGTTGTTATATACCTCGTTTCTGGATGATCCATGGGTTAATTCAAAATTTGAAGCAGGTTTGGGTTGGTGATCACGAAGAGTTACAGATACCTCAAGGCGGCCACATGATATAAACGATTATTATTTTATACAGCAATGCCATCTTAACCTTTGCAGTTTTATCTGCTTTAGAGGGATGACAGTTGAATCCGGACTCAATGGTTACTCTAAAGTTGACTCGCAATGAGTAGGATGTTTACCCATCAAATGAATCCGGGTACACGTATGAGGAATTACCCACAAATTTGCGCGTATGAGTGCGGTATCAACACATTTTTTAAATTTTTTATTTCTCTCTTAATTTATTACATCCCAAGAGTGTATCATGTTGGCTGCGGCGTTGCACTATATTGCATTGACCCTGCTGTTGTATCCTGATTTATTACTCTGGGCAACAGTCGTAGAAGTCTTAATACGAGGTTTGTTCTTTTTTAAGTTTTCATTTGGGTCTATGCCAAGATAATAATACACTAGTAATGATATTAACAATCGAGGAAAAATGGTTGAGAATTTTTCGGGCTTGCTCTCCTCAGCATTACCAACTTTGTTCAGCTGTTGTAGATATTTTTGCTTTGGACCGTTCGGCCTACGGAATTGTTCAAGGCCATCAAAATTCCTTAACTCTATTTCTCAATTACTCAACGAAAGTGGATAAAAGAGCTTATCTTTGGACCAAAAACAAAACAAGAGCTTGTCTAATAAATTTTTAGAGAGATTTTTTTATAATATAAATAAATTTGTTTGAGTTAGAATTAATTTCACAAATTTTTAAAAATTCGAATAGGAGAATTTTTTAAAAACTAAAGAAATATAAATTACTTTTAACTTATGAAAGAAATTTTATTTTATTTATATAATAGAATAAAATTTTGATACTTAGATATATTGAAATAATAAAAAAGAAATAATATTTTTTCATTTATTTAAATAAGTAAAAAATAGTAAATTTATGAGATAAAAAAGTAGAGCTTGAGAAAGAAATTTAGTAAAATTTGATATTGTTTGTTTGTTTTAAGTCGAGAACAATTAATACAATATGTAGCACTTTTTAATAAAAAAAAGAAAATTTTTATAGAAAAAAAATTAACAAAGAACCAAATATGTGAAATTTTAGAATTAGAACATTTAAATGTTTAAAAGACTTGAGTGCTCAAGATTGCGTTTGGTCTAAAAAGAATACAAAATATAATAAAGTCGATTAGTTAAAGTAATATTTATATTTGAAGGGTTATTTTAATTTTAAAGCTTTTTTAGATGGGATCGAAAGAGAACATAACTTTGTATTAAGGTTTAATAATTAAAAAAGGGTTTAAGACTTGTGAATTGTTAAATTTAAAGGGAAAAATTTTAGTAGTAAAATTTAATATGGTAAAAATCCAAAACCATTGGAATGCGGAAGTTCCACGCAATGCGATGCGATTGGGAAGATAGGGCAAAACAATGGCGGGGGCAATCGGAGGAGGGACTGCGTCGTGTGTTTTCTGTAAAATTGCGACGAAATCCTCCCCCACTACCCTTCTTCATTCCGTTCGTCTCTCTCTCTCTCTCTCTCTGTTTGAGTTTCTGTTTTCTTTCTGATTCAGTTTCGACGTCTGAAAATGCAGGATGATAAGGTTGTTGCTTTTCAGGACATTAATCCATCTGCTTTCAGGTACTCATAATTAATCCATCTAAATTCTTAATTTGCATTTTTAATTGCTGAAATGCGCAATTTCAATTAGCTAATTTCTCGATTGGCTAATTTTTCGATTGTTTATATGTTGACATTTTATTGAGGTGACCAATTTGACCCTGGCAACTTTTAGGCATTACTTAGTAATTCCTGCCGCGCACATTCCTACTGTTAAAGATCTTCAGAGAAGATCTGATGACTATTCTTTGGGTAAAGAAACTGATAACTGTAGCCACTTCAGTGTTTTTTAAAACCTGTGTATATGTTGAAATTTGCCTGGTCCAATTTCATTAATGTCTACTATACTTTATGCAGTGAATCACATGTTAGAAGTGGGGAGAATGTTATTACTTCGAGATGCACCACAGTCCAAGTACAGGTAGCATTGGGTTGTTTTCAACTTACAACAGTTATAGTTTTTCTTTTCTTTTTTTGTTTTTTTAAACACAGGCTGTGTTCGACAGTTTTTTTTGTTCAGTGTGCTGTCTGGTGTATGTTCTATTTAGCATTCTAGGTAACTGGAGAGAATTTGAATTGAAAAATGAAAAATAAAGGGTTATGTAGAGATAGGTTGGAGATGAATGCCCATTTTTTGCAATTTGACTTAACCTTTATGGATCAATCTCATTGTGATTTTTTAATCGGATTTTGAACTTTGAACTTTGAACATGCTAATGAAACCTGGATTACTGATAATAACAAATCGAGTGAAATTCTTGAACAATAATTGGATATTATGACCAGAATGCAGAGACCTACCGCATTGGTTTAAAGCAGGAGATTGATTTGACCTGAAGTTAATTGTTGTGCTTAAACAAAACGTGACAATGTGATTCTTTCTGTCATATTTTTTGGACAGATTTGGCTTTCATCAACCTCCATTGAACTCTGTCAACCACCTACACCTCCATTGTTTGGCACTACCATATACACCCAGGTAAGTGTTTTTCTTTCTGGTTGCTACATAATTAAGCTTGTCAGGTACGCTGAGTAGGTACTTAAACTTGCTACTTCATGAGCTTTAAGCAGATGGAGATGCATAAAATACTTGTCTTTTGGACCAGTTGGCTTCATTGAAGCAGAGAAATTTCTGGAAAAGATAAAGCCTTTGCCCACAGTTCACTCAAAAGTATAAGTTAACTTGAAGATACTGTTTAAAAATGCTAGATAGACTGGATCTCTTTCAAACTACCTATGTTCAATTTTTTCAGACGAGCAAAGTTTGCAGTTACAGTTATTCTTTTTGATCTGTAGATCATGATGTATATTCAGCATGATACCTTTATAATAATGGTAACCACAATGCATTGTAAGACAAACCCTACTAACGTATATTCAGCATGCCTGAGTTGGAACTCCAGGATGCTCTGGCGGTGAGTCAGATAATTACCATATTATGCTGACGCTAGCATAAGCAACTTTTCTTGGCTTTCTAAAAAAGGAATTGGCAAGAGTTGATAAAGGAAGACATATCTTAGTCCTTTACAGGCCAGCAGTTCCTTATTGTTTTCCAGCGACCCAGAAGTTAGTTGTATTGGTGATTTGGGTTTTGGAGATTGTGTGATTATGTATCGCAGATTAGTTGAATTGAGAATTGGGGGATGTCCGATATAGGTATTAGAATACATGACACTTTAACATTTGAGAAATTAAAAATGATTAAGTTTTCAAAATTATTTTGCACAGTTTATTTGTGGCTGATATATGTAGTAGTTGAACAGTATATTTGTAGCTGACAGGAAAACATCAGGACACAGATGCACCAAGACAGTCTAGTAGTATATTATAAATACAGGAGTTGACATGTCGAATTTTGTACGGTGTCATTTAAAATTTAATATATGTCATTCATATTATGCTAATCATGCAGCCTTGTCAAAATAATTTTCATAAAATATTTGTAATTTTCATGTATTAATTCATTAATATCATGCCTTAAAAATGTTTCATTCTGTATTAAAATTATGCATCAAAAGTGTTTTCGAAATTATTACCCACTGTATGGATGGATAATTGAATCCGGTGTGCAATTCAATCTTGAACTGTATTGGATCCAATTCCATCCGCACCGCTGGCTGTAATCAAAACAAGAATGTGTAATTTGGTTAGTACAAATAGACTTTGAACACTAAATAGATTCTGCAAAACAACGTTCAACACTAGGTAAAAAGGGGCAAAAACATTAAAAAGTGCGAGTTCCTGTATTGCATGACTTCTTAGCACAAGGGCTGACCGAAATCCAAGGGCTATATTAAATGTTAAATTTTATACGTGAACTTTATCGAAGATATCTCAAAAAATTTCCACTCTCAGTTTGGTAGATAATGGTGACAGCACAAGCTTTTCTTCGTGCCTTCTAACTTTCTCTGGCTAACAATAAGAAATGACGGCTGAATTGAGATAGCGATAGAAAACTGATAAAACGATTTTTTTTTCTCCCTCCATTTTTAAGATGTATACACCCAAAACAAATGAGTGAAAAATATATTAAAGGAATTATATAGTAATGATGTGAAGTACAAATATTCAAAATGTCAAGGTGTGTTTTTTACTGAAATTATACGGGACTAAACTATACTTTGTTATGATTTTGTAAAAATAAAAATATTCTTTTACGAAAATTTGTATCTTGTATGACTTAAGGAAGTAAATTTTTAATTGAGAAGAAAAAAAAGTGTTTTACTAAGGGGAGACTCGTAACTAGGAATTGTATTTTTAGAAGGTACCGTCACTAGTGACAACCACGCTGGTGATACAACCAGAGAAGTACATTCATTAACAACTCAAGCATGAACCCTTAAATCATGAATGTCAAGTCAACAACATTATAGTATGTCTGTCAAACATTTTTTGCAAAAAATATTTTTCTTGAAAACTATATTAAAAGATCATTAGAATATATAAATTACCCAGTTTATTATGTTTAACGTTTACTCATAATATCCCGTCTTCTGTACCTTGACACACTAACACTGCTGCTTGCACGTTATTTGAAAATATAAATATTGGGTAGTCAGCATATTTTCGTATGAATGAACAAGAAAATTGGGCTGATTGGAAATGTTGAACCAGCACGAAAATTTATATTTAAAAGATAATGGGTAAAAACATAAATTTTCAGGTCAAAACTAGGAACCATATTAAAGATATAATAAAAGAATTTGGAACTTGGCAGGATTGAGTGCTCCTATTCAATGCTTTGCCAGTACATTTACGAATATATTTTGCAATCGTAATGACTAATGAGACAAACTTCAGCACCAAAATATCATAAGCAGCGCCCCCCAACTTCAAAAACAGAACGAATTTGGTAGCTTTTGGATCACTAGAGGACATCAATAATCATTTTATTGAGCATGGTTTCCACAATAAAAGGGTACGCGAACAGCTGTAAAATATAAATATTATAGAAGCGTTTTAAGAAAAGTACAAAAGTATTAAATTCCTAGGTAAAGAAGAATCTTTAATAAAGATAATCTAGTTTGAAATTTAGTAGTTTAATCATCTTGCATTAGGGTATAGTTTATTTAATGTTAGTATTGTAATTAAAAGCTTCCAAAGGACTAGATGAGTTGGATTTTCCGGGATTGGTGTACAAAATAATGAATTCTTAATAGCTTCTGAATTGTCCATATATTCACCAACATCCCCGAATTTCTTTCTATATCCTTTCTGGTCGTCGCCTACTCCTCATGGAAGCATCGTAATCAATAATTCCTATGCTCGCTGCAAAGGGTCCTCTTCTCTCTATTAATGCCACTTGACAATGGAAAGAACCAGACAATGCATACTACTCCATAGGATTGGTCTACCATCCATTAGGTAGAGAGAGTCAATACTCAATAGATGACTTTTACTCTTTTCCTTTGTTTTGCCAAAGCAGCCAATCTTGTGCTTACTTTGTTGACCTTATTAATAACCTTAAAAAAATGTACTACTAACATTTTTTTTAAAATACATTCTATGTGATTAGTTTATTTTTAAAAAAGTTAAAATATTCATCGTATAAATTAATCATCTTCAAAAACTTGCTTTAACTTTTTGAAAAACTTACTAATCATTAAAGAATGAGCTCAAAATAGTATATTGTTAGCAATTTTTTATTATAAAAAATATAAATAATAAGTGCTTTTCTTTAATGTCTCTACCAAATCCAGCTATAAAGAAAGGGGGGGAAAATGATAATTATATATTTAGATGCACCTAAACTTAAGTGGAACCAAGGCATTAAGGAGTTTCAGGAAGGGAAGGCACATATTATTTTGTATGTTTAGAGACAAATAATTGGTATGACCGGCCCAAATAGCTATCATCCACTAATAGCATGAGAGTGACTTGGGTAGATAGGACACGCGTTGCAATTTTATCGGTCATTATTTGCTGCACCACGGCGAGTTAGCCTTAGCCATTGAGGTTTTTGGAATGATAAAACACTTTTTAATCTATTTTTTATTATTGGTTAAAATTTGTTAAAAATTAAGAAAAATATTAATTTAAAAGTAAAAAAATGAAATTCATATAATTTTTAATAAAATTTAATTAATAATAAAAAATATTTTAAAAAATATATATTAAAAAGTGTATTACTGATATTATTCAAGAAATTTATTATCTCAATTGATGGCTTTAGAGAACCTTTTTTCTTGTGGTCTCCAACATCATCTATAATTAATACTTCTTAGTTATATAATAATTGTGTTTAACTAGCCTTTTTAAATATTTATAAATAGAAAACTTAATAAATACAATATATTTATTATGTTAAAATTATAAAAATATAATAAGTATTTGTAATAATGTTTTTTTGATATATTTATTATTATTATTAATTGTTTATCATCAACTAAAATAATGATTTACTTATTATGAGTAATGAACTTGATTATTCAATGCTTTTATTTTTATTTCGAAATTAACTCTTTTGAAATAAAAATGTATATATAACTTAATTGTTACATATTCGTAAAGCCTGACCTTTTGTATAATTTTGGTTTCAACTTATTTGTTTCTTCACAGCTCAGTAAATAACATTGAAGAACAAAATAATTTTTGACCGATCAAAGCTGAGAGAAGAAGAAAAATTATATATAATTTGACTAATTACTGTACGTTAATAGGTTTATAAATCTAATCCGAATTGACTTGATAGCTACTTTGACAAATGTCATTTTTTTGTCTTTGCGTTAGCCCTCAAAGCAAATTTTATTTACTATTAATTTCGAAAACATTTTAATTAAAATTATTTAATTAATTTTTTTTGAAAAAATGTACTAAAGTTTCTTATAATTTAAATATATTGTGATTTTTGAAAGATAATTAATTTTAAATGAAAAATTCCAAAATCAAGTTGACATTGATTTCTTGCAATGATCAATGATTGACGTTGACGTGGATTTATTTTGCCACGTTTTCTTTTTGTCTGTTAAGCTTTTTCTCTTCTAATTCAATAAATTCGTTGATTGGCCTTCATTTGTCAATAACAGAGAAAACAATAATAAATTTGCATCTGTTCACACTTAAATTATTAAATGCTTTATATATAGAGAGATAAATTACCCTTATGAATATTATTAATGTAAACAGGCTGTTTTCTCACTAATTTGACGATGAAATTTCATTTTCATATAAATAGTTTATTTTTAAAGTAGATGGTCAAATCACTTGTTAATAAACATATACATCGCTGGTATATTAATTTTGGAATAATGAAATTACACCCATAATCAATAAATGTATATCTAGTCGTTAATTATTCGTTAAATACACATTTCTTCAATAACATTAGTTTGAGAAATTGATGATGTGAGAGTTAATTTAACTGGAAAAAAAAACATTTCTCAATAAAGAAAACAGTTTTAAAATTAGCATTGAAAATGTAATATGATCGCCGCATTTATTTTTTTTAAAGCTTAAATAAACATGGAAAACAGTTTTTGTACAAAAACATCTTACAGTTTTTTAAAAATATAATTTAAAAATATTAAATAACTTTGTAATTTATACGTCAGAGTCCTTACATAGTTCTGTTTTCTTTGCCACTTTTCTTAGTTTAAAAAAAAAGGGTTGGAATGTAGATTTAATAATCCATAAGAACAATGTAAATGTATATAATTAAAAAAAAAATAGCCAACACCCTTAAGATACTAATTAAAAAAAGAAATAGAAAAAAGAAAACACCAACTCTATATTTTCATTATTACTCTTTTCAATTACGAATTATTTGTTACACAGAACACTAGCTGGTGTTTGATTCACTTTTAATTTTTAGTTTTTAAAAACTATATTATAGAACAATTTTAAAAAACTGTTTTTAAAAGGAAATGAAAAAGAGTAAATGAAGAAAAAAAATAAAATAACATATGTGGTCTATAAAAAGAAAATAGGGCTTATGATTTTTGTGTTTTAAAAAAAGAAGTGTGTTAATTTTACCGTGAGAACAAAGTCATTTAAGTACATGTTAAACACATTTCATTAAAACATATAATTTTGATTTATTAGAAATAAAGTTACAAAATGTACCCAACTTGGGTAAATATTGAAAAAATTGCAATTTAAAATGAGGATGATTAGAATTAGGAAGGAGTCTAATCCCATGATGGCTTTGCCCAGGCGTCGCCAACCTTGAAATAGTGAAAGGTAGACGCGAAGGAATGGACCAAAAGCGGCAGTAACTGAGTGAGTGATGACAAAGAAAGTTCTCATACTTTGCTTAAGCGGCCAAATCACAATTAACTATTGTACCAAAACCAGGTTCATTCATTGCCGCATCCAATTGCAAAGTAAAAAATCGATATCATCATATGCCCTCCTTTTAATCTTTCGTAACTAGTACACTAGACACTATAAATTAACCAAGACGATAACATATTAACATGGTCCTCGTACGTGCCCATAGTACACGTACCCTCCTTTATAAACGCCAAAGAATTCAAAACCTCGTCCTCTGTCTCCCAGTCCTAGCCATACTCTGTTCTCAGAATGGCTTCTCCCCTGTTCTTCCTCTGTCTCATGCTCTGCATTTCATACTCATACCAAATGGTTCTAATGCCCCTAACACACACAATATCCAAAACCCAATTCAACAGCATCCACCACCTCCTCAAATCAACCTCCACTCGTTCAGCATCACGCTTCCACCGCCACCGCCAAAACGCAGTCTCTCTCCCGCTCTCTCCGGGAAGTGACTACACACTCTCCTTCAACTTAGGCTCAAACCCTTCGCAACACATAACACTCTACATGGACACGGGAAGCGACATCGTGTGGTTCCCTTGCGCTCCCTTCGAGTGCATCCTCTGCGAAGGAAAACCCAAAGCAACAAAACCCCCAAACATCACGCACTCCAACGCCGTTTCGTGCCAATCCCCTGCATGCGCCGTAGCACACTCTTCCATGTCCCCTCACGACCTCTGCGCAATCGCACGTTGTCCCTTGGACGCAATCGAAACCTCGGATTGTTCTTCTGCCACGTGTCCACCCTTTTACTACGCTTACGCAGATGGAAGCTTCATCGCGCGCCTCTATCGCGATACTCTCTCTATGTCTTCTCTTTTCCTAAAAAACTTCACCTTTGGTTGCGCCCACACCGCACTCGCCGAACCCATTGGCGTAGCAGGTTTCGGTCGGGGCTTATTGTCTCTCCCTGCTCAACTTGCTACCTACTCCCCGCAACTGGGTAACCGGTTTTCCTATTGTTTGGTCTCTCACTCGTTCGACGGAGAACGGGTTCGCAAACCGAGTCCACTCATTATTGGACGCTACGACGGCGCCGGCGAATCGAGTGATTTTATTTACACGTCCATGCTTCGGAACCCAAAGCACCCTTATTTCTACTGCGTGGGACTCGCCGGAATCTCCGTCGGTAACCGGACAATTCCGGCGCCGGAGATGCTGAGGAGGGTGGACGGAAGGGGAAACGGCGGCGTGGTTGTTGATTCCGGGACCACGTTCACGATGTTGCCAACTAGTTTGTATAACTCGGTGGTGGCTGAGTTTGATCACCGAGTGGGGCGAGTTCAGAAGCGCGCGAGTGAGGTTGAAAAGAAAACGGGTCTTGGGCCGTGCTATTATTTGGACGGGTTGGTGAAGGTTCCGGTGGTGACGTTGCATTTTGTTGGTAATAATTCCAATGTGGTGCTGCCAAGGAAGAACTACTTTTACGAGTTTTTGGACGGTGGTGATGGCGCGAGGAGGAAGGGGAAAGTGGGGTGCATGATGCTGATGGACGGTGGTGATGTGGCTGATTTAAGCGGTGGACCCGGGGCCACACTTGGAAATTACCAACAGCAAGGCTTTGAGGTTGTGTATGACTTGGAAAAGCAACGCGTGGGGTTCGCCAGGAGGCAATGCGCGTCGCTTTGGGATAACCTTAACAGCGAGAAAAGCTAGTACCTACTCTGCGCTGCTTACCACTGGATTATTCTGGTGAGGGTCGCGTTTACTATTTGTAAATGGAAAATAAGGTAGCGGGCTTGGGCTTGGGCTTGGATCTCCAATCCGTGCTCATGTGTATATTTATGTACCTAATGGATAAAAGAGAATTTATGCCCTTTCACTTTGTACTTGTACGTAAATTAATTGACACGAGGCAACAAGTGAAGTCTGAAAGTCTTATTATTATTATTATTATTATTATTACATTTTGATTGAAATTGTGTTCTATTTTCATATTACTTTTTAATTGAGGTGGCCTTCAATTTAAACTCAAACAAGTACCTTTGGTATATTTCAGCAAACATCATTTTAACAATAGATCAGAATTAAAAAATGTGTATTTAGTGTTTAATTATAATAAATAAATTTGATTTTGTATTTCAGAATTAAATAATTAGTAAGAAAAGAGGATAAGATCCTCTGCATAATTTATATTTGTTTTTTTAACACTAATAATTAGATAATAAATTAATTTGTGCAAATTTGACTTTTTTTTTAATATCATCCATTATTTTTAAAATGTTTTTAAATTTATATGTGATACCAATTCGTGTATATGACAATTTATCTAACACGTTTTTTAACATTGTGGACTCGTGATTTTATACTTATATGTTTGCTTTTTTTTTTTAACCTACTAATGTATAATTATATAATGTTCCTACAAAAGATATACCCGTTCACCATAACTTCTGCCATCGCATATTTCTGTGATATTTTCATACAATATTTTAGATTCTCCTTATTTATAGGAGGAGGGTACTTGCAATGACACTCCGACAGTTAAGTAAGTATTCGGTATAGAATAATAAATGTTATTAAATATTCTGAAGTTCTTCTTTTATCTGTCTTTTTTACTTTCTTTTTATAGGCATAATACTGGATTAATGGGCTTGATGAGTCAGCCCTAGATTAGCCGTTTGACTACTTGAATAATTAACCTTTTTTTATTGGTTATTTATCTTAATTAACTTGTTAATTTATTTTGATATGATTAAAGGGTGACGGTGCCTCTCGTTCGAAAGTGAAGTCAAAGGAGTGATGAGGCCGAAGGGGTGTTGGTACCACTCGTCCCGAGGTGCGGCCGAAGAGATGTTGGTACCCCTCGTCCAGATGTGAGGCCGAAGGGGTGTTGGTACCACTCGTCCCAAGGTGAGGCCGAAGAGATGTTGGTACCCCTCATTCAGATGTAAGGTCGAAAGGGTGTTGGTACCTCTTATCCAGAGGTGAGGCCGAAGGGGTATTGGTACCTCTCGTCCCGAAGTGAGGTCGAAGGGGTGTTGGGTTCCTGATTTTTTTAAGGATGACCGAATAATGCCTCAGCAAACTTTGGAAGCGAGATTACTAGACAATTGTAAAAGTTTAACGCTGGAAAAATATGATGGAACTTCTTATCCTAAGGACCACATGGATATATTCACTACATAAGTCGGCCTTTACACTGACGATAGTGCCCTACTATGCCGAATATTCCCAACATCGCTCCGTGGACCAGTTTTCAATTGGTTCACTAGATTACCGCCCACTTCCATATACTCATTTGCAACGCTTGTCATGCGCTTCAATTTTCAATTTATCACCAGTCATCCTCATCAACTAACCTCGTTGGCTCTGGTTAATATTCGCAAGGAGAAGAAGAAAACACTCAGGGCGTTTATGGAACGTTTTAGGAAAATGGCCCTCTCAATCCAGAACTTGGATCCGGCAATTGCGACTCATCATCTTACAACAGCCCTTAGGCCAAGTCTGTTTGTCAACAATATCTACAAAAAAACTCCTGTCGACCTAGATGAACTACGTTGCCGAGCAACCAAGTACATGCAGATGGAAGAACTGACTATGTTCTGCAACTAGGCCCAGATGGAGCAAGTGTCGAGTCGAAGAGAATCTGAATGGAACGAACACACAAGAAATAAACACGAAAACAAGGACCAAAAGATTAGAGTTGAACGTCTCCTGAGAGGACCTAGGTATTCGAGTTACGCAATGTTAAAAACCAATTAGTCCAGGGTACTCGAGCAGACTTTAGCAATAGAGATATTGATAATATCGAAGTGCGTGAACACCCTCACTCGGGCTAGAAATTGTAGTTTGTAAATTTAGTGCACTCTTTCCTTACTCGGATTTTGTCCTCTTAAAAGAACATGAAGAAAGGTTTTCCTGATAAAGTCTTTAACGAGACACTTCATCAATAAAATAATAGAACTTTCTTTATAACTCAACAGTCTCTTATTCTCAACATTCTTTCCTGGGTACCCCACTTGGCTATGGTTGAATAAAAATTCCCTCCCGAGTACCTCACTTAGCTAAAGTTGAATCACTATTCCCTCCAGATACCTCACTCGGCTAAAGTTGAATCAATATTCTCTCCCGAACACTTTACTCAGCTAAGGTCAAATTAAATATTTCCTCCAAAGTACCTTACTCGGCTAAGGTCGAATTAAATATTCCTTCCTAAGAAAGGTTGAATTGTCATCACCTATCGGATATCTTGCTTAACCAAGATTCATATATTTTCTCTCAACACATCTCGATTTGTTTATTTTCCCAATAACTTCGCTTGGTTTGAATGTTTTATCTCCTAACAACCCCCTTAGGTTAAGGGAGAATTTACATTTACTCATTCGGTTCAAATGTTCGCAAACGTTTACTATGAATGATTACTACCATGTAACTTATTCGATTCGAAGTGTTAACTAGCTGCAAATATCGTGGTTATTAATCATTTTTAACTTGTTCATTTTTTAGCCATGCATAATGTTGTTACCAAAAGTTTCCTCAGACACTTAACAAAATTTTATCAAGAAAGAAACTTTCATATTCCAAATGAAGGCACTAAAAGGTCAGGGTCTTACAAAAATGGGTGCTAATGGCACAGAACATACAAAAAATATGTACAAACCCCTTTTGACATAATTCATCTTTTAGACTAATGATCCCCGCGATTTTCCTATATTCGGTTGTTACTTCATTTAAAACCTAAGATGACTCCCCCCTTTTGATTGATGCTCCATTTAGGGGCAAATTATATAATCGGATTAAAAAAGATGTGTAAAATATTCCGAGTACCAATACTAATATATAATTAGTGGCAGCAATTGATGGATTGATCAATGGTGGAGCTAAAGCATAAAATGTTTTGAAATTGCCGTTTGATATTCAAAGTTAGCTATTTACTTCGGTATCAATATAATATTGTACTGCGATTTATAAAATTTAATATAAATTCGACAGTTTTCCATTATAAATCCCCGGGGTTTTGTTAAAAATAAAACGTTCAAATATTAATAATAAGTATACATATTTTTTATTAAATCATACAAACATGATATAAAAAATAACATTAAAATTTATGCAATAATGGTATATCACCGTAGTGTCGTAGAAGAGTACAAGTACCACACCGAAATACTTATTTTTAGCTAAACTCGTAATCAAAATTTTTAATAAATTGTAATTAATAATAAAAATATATTTCAAAGAATATATTATTAATATTTTTGAAAGATATTCACATTAAATTTAAAATATTAACGTAAACACTATTTAAAAGTGGAAATTATTATTTTAAAATGTTTAAAATCTACCCCAACATATTATAAAAAACAAGTGTTTTAAATATGGGATCTTATTTATTCGTTTCATGAAATTGGGGTGAAGAAATAGAAGGGAAAGATAATTGGGGAGACGAGGCACGTAGACAAACCAAAGTGAGGAAGGGTTTGGGAAATTGGGTAATCTGATTTCAGAATTAGGTGTCACGAGTAATGATTATTCATTATTGTTACTGAAGTGAAAAGATTCTCAATGTGGTAAAGATTTTATGGGTCATAAAGTGTTGGCAGTTTCTGTGTTGTAATTGGAGTAGGATCTGTAACGTGCTCCATCATCCAAGTAATGAACAAATGTTGCCAAATTTGAAAACGAATCATTTTTTCTGTGACGTGAAGACTCTTTCCACATTTCCAGCTACACGTTTTTTTCTAAGTAATATCGCACCTCCTCTTTCCTATTCTTTCAATCTTGCGCGGGTCCCCTTTAAATGCCGCTACAATATAGTATAAGTAATATTCCCCTGATATTTTTTTATTTCCATGATTTGTGAGTATCGAAACATTTTATGAATAAAATTTAATATGAATTATTATATTATTAAAAAAGTTAATTTTTATAATAATGTATAACTTTTACGGTTTTGCAAGCTGGTGACACCCTTCAGCAGTCACTTTTGAAAAGACCGCGTCATTTTGCGTATTGATTTTACCCAAGGCATAGAAGCAAGAGATCAAAATGTTTATAAAAGTGCTTTAGATTTTGAATTCTCCAAACCAGAAAAACCTTCCCTTTTTATATTAAGTTCCGTTCACTTCAAATTTAGAAAAACACTGCTTTACTTTTTAAAATTTTTAACGTGTATCACTGCATTTATATATTTGAAAATTTAATTAAAAAGATAACAAAATTTATTAAAAATATGTTAACTGTATTAAAAAAAAACCATTGCAATATATTAAAAAAAAAACTTTTGCCAGATTGTTGTGACGTATATGCATGAAATGTTGACGTTAAAAAAGAGTGGTAAGTAGAAAGAGCTACAGTGAAGTCCGAACAAGGAACAAGCTGCTTTCAACTCTGGATACAGCTAGCTTCGCTGTCCTCACTCTCCATAACACGCACGTGTGCTTTAAGATACTCACCAACGTGCCCCACACAGTGCTAGTATTTACGAGTTCCGTTTTTAAATATGTTTTATAAAATTTTATTTAAAGTTAATTTGGTACGAAAATAAATTGTTCAAATTTGATAACTTATTTTTTTTCAAAAAGGAAGTGTTTTTTATATTAAATAAATGTAATCGTTATGGGAAGTCCGAGTAGAGAGGTAAACGGGCCTGCTACACCCTGAAAGGGCTTTTTTTTAAGCTCCCTTTTGCACTTCATTTTTTTTCTTTTCACACTTTTAATATATTTTTGTAATATTTTGTTCTAAAAATACTCTTTTTTTTTTTTTGGCTTTTCTTCTATGTTGTCCTTCTGTTGTAAGAAAAGAAGCAGCAACTCTTCTCGGTAAACATGGCTAACCCAAGTTGTACTATGGTTTCTCTACATATATCAGTATGATATTCTGGAGATAAGGAATATCATAAATATTTATCAATTTCATGATTTTTAAATATCACTGTATATTTCCCTCATTATTTGTCAGCATAATAGAGGATCATTTTTATTGTTGCGACGCTTGAATCTCTCCGTTCTTCTCATTATTTTTCAACTTTTATATAACAACTCTGCACAGTGAATTGAGGTGTTTGACTGGGAACTTAGGTTCTTGACAATTTGAGATTGTTTAACACAATTCAAAAATAAAAGAAAAACACTAATAGATTTTGAAAATATTTTTTTGTTAGTCCAAAACAAATTTCTAAAGTTTTAGTTACAAAATTGTATTCATCCTTTTATAAAAGTTTAATTCTTAAAAGCATTTGAAGTTAACTTTAAAAATTAAGTTTCAATAAACAGTGATATCTTTTCAAAAATATCAAGCTTTTTTTTTTTACTTAAATAGTATAATTTTAAAAATAATTTTTCAAATTACTATAATTTAATTTTTTTTTCATGTCTAGTGCTTTTTTTTTATCACATCATATGATGTTTCAAACCTGCATAGTCGATATTAATTTTTACAATCTAGTATCACCTCATTCAGTTCAATACTATCTTAGATTTACACGTGGTTTTTTTATAAGCTTGTATCGCCCCCATAAGTATGCAACAATCTAAACAGGTCAGATGGAGTCATGTGGCCTATAAAAGAATTGATACTAATTTCAACAGTTAAAGTATGAGATTATTATCGTCTGTGGGCGATTCTTCTAGAATGTTAACACGTGTTATGAAAATTAATTTATCTTTTAAATAATTATTATAAATATATTTTTTGTTCACATTACATGTCTGAATATATATAATGTGAAATTGAACATAAATTACCTTGGATGCAAAAACATAAGGTTGGTATTAGGTTAATATTTTCTTTTGAAAATTTAGAATTTTTTTAGTTGCTATTTGAATATTACAGTACATGTGCTAAAATTGGACATTATATGGCTTTAATGTTACATGTTCTTAACTTTGGTCTCGGGTTTCAAAGTTCCACATCTTATTATGGCGAACCCTAATTTTTGGGGGAAGGAACTATTTGGGTGGAGATTAATGAAGCATAGAGTAAGAAAATGGTGGACCTGTAGTGGAGTTTTGAAGGGATGGGTTGCAACAAGGTTCTTGTTATTGTTGCGAAGAAAGATATACTAAGGGATAGAGGGAAACTTTATCATAAAAAGTTGGTGAATAGTTATTGGAAAGGGATGACTGAGTTTTATGAGACTCTTAAGAGTATCATGTCTTTCTTTCGTTTGACCTCAGTTGTGTCATAGCTAAGAGCTTGTTTAAATGCATCTTTGTTTTTGTTCACGAACAATGTTACAGTGATAATTTTGTCACAGTTGTGTTGTTTGTGTCATATAGTGAGACTCTTTCCCATTGCCTATTATTTAATCTTAACTATTGGATTAAAAACTCGATGTAGAATCCATACCAACTTATAGAAAAACCATCCTTCCAAGACTTTTGAAAAAAGATAGAACAAATATTAGAATTCACCAGTCACCACAAGTAAATGTAAAAAGTTGAAGCGCAAATATTGATATTATAAAGACAAAAAATGTTATCTCTAATTAAAAAAAAAATTAGAAAGGATAAAAAGAAAGATTTTGATCACCGTTTTAACTTATGCTTTGTTTTTAAATGAGTAGTGGCATGCTAATATAAACATGCTAGTGAGAGATGGCACATTTTAAGATTTTAAAAAAAGTATTTCAAAATTTTTATTTTTAAATTTATTTATAAAAAATATTATAATCTTAACTATCAAATTAAATATTATTAAATTTAATGATTAGAATAAATGGTCCATCACAATCTTATGTCAGAAAAAAAAAGATGTTAAAAATACCACAAGTAACTCTCTTGCGTTAATGTATAACCGGTACATATTTAGAGAAGATAATACAATACCCATTTTTATACTCTCGCCTTAAAAACTTCTCTCACCTAAGTTCATTATATATGCATGTCGAACGAAAAAAAAGTTCATATATGCACAAATAGCAATTTCTTCTACCATATGTAGAATTTGGAATTTAGAAATGAGAGAAAAATTTAAAAATTTATTTTGATTTGAGTAAAATTTGATACTTTAATTAATAAGTTTTGAATATAAGAAAATTAAAATAAAAATTAAGAAAAAAATACAAGATAAATTTCACTTATTTTAAAAATAAAAACTTAATTAATATAAAAAATTAAATTGAAAGAAATAAAAATATAACTTAAGCCTTTTTTTAAGAATAGAACGTGGCAAAAAAAAAAGAAAGTATTAATAGTTTAGAACCTGAGCAGTCGTCACAGCTGCGTCAATGTCATTCCCGAAAATGCAAATATACGTAGTTACGTCACTTTCACACTTTCCTCTGTACTTTTACTTGAACAAACTCAAACATTGGATGCCGAACTTCTTTTCGCGGTTTCTTAGAACACACGTCATTCTAATTCTATCCTTCTCCCACTCCAACATTTCCTTCCTTCATTCTTCTTCTTTCTCGCAAGTACAACTGCTTTTCTTTTTCTACCCTCTGATTCCATTTTTCCATGGAATTTAATTTCTGTTTTACTCACTTTTACGATAAACCTTTCTTGTATAAATAGGATTCATGTTTATCTTTATTCTTTAGTTCCGATTTTATTGTCAAAAATATAGTGGGAGTAATTGTTCATGCTAATAGCTTCCAAGGATACCCATATTCAATAGATTCTTATCAATGCACGTTTTCAGTTACAAATGAATAGTCAGAAGGATAAGGCCGAAGATAGGGACGTGATTATAGCAAAGGGTGATAAAGAAGATGAGTCATTTTCTGGCTTTCATGGATTGACGATAGACTTCGGTAGTGATAAGAGTAAGACCAAAACTTTTCATCCTCCGATTGAAACGCATTGGGATCTTCCTTCATCACAAAGAAGAAAGGATTCTTCTTCCCACCTGAAGTCACTGTTGTCTTTCCCGCTCAAGAAATTTAGAAGGAATAAAAGCCTGAAAATGATTCTAGAAGGAGCTCGTGATCCCAAAGATAATCAAATTGTGGAGTCTTTTCGTGAAATGCTTTTACAAGAGGGTCTTTTGCCACCTAAGCACGATGATTATCATACTCTTTTGAGGTATCTATGTATGTCTCTCTTGCTGTTCTGTGACAAGTTTGCACTTTGCAGGGCTGGTTTTTTAATTGCATTGCCTTTGATGTGAGGTTTCTGCGCATGAGGGATTTCGACATGCCAAAATCCAAGGATATGTTTCAGAATTATCTGAAATGGCGCAAGGAATTTCGAGTAGATAAGCTGGCTGAGGTGAATAACCCGAAACTTCAACATATGTTTCTTTTTTAGTATGAAATTTCTAATTGGTCGATACATGTTGAGTTGTAGTCTGGTAGAGGTGATTTAAAATTATTCTTTCTTTGATGTCTTGTAATGCATGTGGAGGTATCATTTGGATATGGGGAGAGGTTGATTTTTCTAAAGCATTTATCATGACTTGCCGTCTCAATGTAGAAATGGAAATGATGAATGTTAGTTACCCTTTTAATTTAACGAGTTTAATTTTGATACAAAGTAAGAGTAACGCAACACTGTCATCTAATTACATGACACCCCTAATTATCACTTTAAAGTAATTATTATAAAAGTTCATAATTTTTAAATAATAAGACAATTCGTGATTGGTTTGAAATTTAAAACCTTGAATGTATGTCAAAAGGAAGCTTTACATCTATACTCCTCCTCCCAGGGGCGTGTTTCGGGAATAGTTTGGGGGCTTTGGGACCCCCATTAAACCGCCAGCAGAAAATTTACCATGATTTTAGCATCAAAATGTAACCATTAATGTAATTTAGAAGTTCTTCACCTCTTGTTATTAATGTAATTTTTGTTAAAAATCGTTAAGTTCTTGCTTCATGCTACAATTCAGTTCAATAACGATGCTGATTTGAACTATTTATGGGCTTCACATTTTGATGCATAATCAGGAATTCAAATTCACGGAGTACAATGAAGTGAAGAAATGCTATCCTCATGGATTCCACGGGGTTGACAGATTTGGCAGACCCGTGTATATTGAGAGAATTGGGATGGTAGACCTTAACAAACTAGCGCAAGTAACCACATTTGAAAGGTTTATAAAGTATCATGTGTCAGAACAAGAGAAAACTCTTAAAGTAAGATTTCCTGCATGTTCACTGGCTGCTAAAAGGCACATAGCATCCACTACAAGTATCTTGGATGTCAACGGAGTAGTAAGCAGATTCTTCTATATATTTTGCCTTCTTATTAGAACTTGCTTACCATTTTCCCGACTCATAGTTCTTCAGATGGGGGGCGTGGGACTAGGGAAAGGTCTTTTAAACCATTCATGCAGACTATACAAATTGAAACCTCGTTATGGTCTATCTAGGTTCACTTCACTTTCTAGCGATCCATGTCTATATTATATGGTTTCTGAATGCTGATATGATTATTTGGCTGTATTCTTCTAGGGAATGTCTAATTTCTCAAAGCCCGCAAGATACCTCTTTATGGAAATTCAGAAGATCGATAGCAGTTACTATCCTGAGGTAATTTTTAGATTGTAGCTCGTACGCAGAAGATGATTTGGATATGCTTGTGAATTGTGATAAATGTGAGAAACTGGGGGTCAGTTTATCAGATGATAGGACAATGACCAGTTTTAATGTTGTTTACAATGATTCAGTAACATAAAATATTATAATCTATAAAACAGTTACTGGTTTTAGATCAAAATTTCTGGTACATTTATGGCGTAACTATCATATATAGTTTTATACGAAGTTGCGTAATGGAAGGGAGAAATCCTTTTTAGTTTTGGATGAACTGCTATCTCTAATTACAGTTTGCCTACATGTTTTTGATCTCTCTCCTTAGGGTATCAATATTTTTTTATGATGCAAGGTTGAACACTAACTTACTGATTACACTCGGAATTAAGACATGCCAGAATTTTTATGCAAAACAGTTTGCTAAGTTTCTTTTTAACAATCATAGATAGACCCGAGCTGCTTCGATATAGGCATTAGTGTGCAGTTGTTTAGTATTCATTTTTGTACTTGCAGACACTAAATCAGCTCTTCATTATTAATGCCGGATCTGGGTTTAGGATGCTGTGGAAAGCAGTAAAGACATTCCTAGATGTACGCACAGTAGCAAAAATTCAAGTATGAATCACTGAAACTACATATTATTTCGTTTTCGGATACCATGAAGTTGCACCTACTTTACTCTGGTAATATTACTCTCAAGCCTGTATCTGTGCTGAATGTACAAGATGACTGTTTCAGGTGTTGGGTTCTAGTTATCTCAATGTGCTGCTTGAGGCTATAGATCCGAGGTAACATGACTTCTGCATCGTTTAGCCAAGCTTTTTTCGATAGTAGCTACCTTGTCGATGAACTTACTTCTAACAAGTCAAAAAAAAAAAAGAGAGATTCTGCATTCAATGAAAGCTCCTATATTTGATTGTCTGATTATACAGTAATTTGCCAATGTTTCTGGGTGGCAACTGCACATGTTCTGATTATGAAGGCTGCATGATGAGTGATCGAGGGCCCTGGAAAATTCCAGAAGTGCTAGAAATGATTCAGGTTTGGCAGTACTGTGAATGACATCTCGAAGTTTTTCAGCGCGCTACTTGTCTTTGTATTGTCATATAGAAGCAGTTGAGAGGTGCATGTCTCATTAATCATGCAGGTTGTTAACTTGAGAGAAGAGATCGACGGTAATGCGGCTTCAGAAGATTCCTTGAGAGAAGAGATCGATGGTAAATGTGAAGTCAGTAATGTGGCTTCAGAATATTCCTTGATGCCCAATAAAGTGAGGAATTATTGAATTATTCACCTTTGTTCTACCAATGCGATGGGCACCTTTACATAAAATGATGAAATGCAGGTTGACATGCAAAACAAAGATGACTATACTATGAGTCTACTTGAGGAGGCGGCATGTGCAGGATCAGACTCGGCATGTAGGTCAGCATTACAAAAAATTGACTGTCTTGAAGCTGTTCTTGGAGACACCAAGAATGTGAGTTTTTCATACGATGATTCCATGTTACAGTTAAACCATGACAATCCAAAATGCTTAGGGGTTTTTGCTGATACTTGTACATATAGCAGAAAATCAAGAAGCTGGAAGACGCACTTCAGGACACCAGGATGGTGAGCTCATAAACACTGATGAATGTTTCCTCTAGCACTGCGAAAATTACAGTTTGTTTTACCTTTCTCTTTCAGGCCTTGAAGGAACTTGCACAGCTTATAGAACAGCCGAAAATGTAAAATTGGCTACTGTTAACACTGTTGCAGTTACTCAAATGATTATTTTTCCCCTTCTATTATTATTAGATGAAAGTTCAGCGTACTGTTATATTAACATTTTATCAGTGTGGTTCTACAGAATTCTACCAAAAATTAGTTGATGTACGTGAGAAAAATTAACACATCCTAGAATGCCTAGACAGGGTCATTTTCATGAAGTTTTAAGAGTTGAATGATCAGATTGAATTGATCATGTTACGATAATCACACGACTTATTAAAATAATTTAAGTTTAAAACAATTTATCAGTTTGAGGTACTTTGGGACGTGTAACAACTCTGTCGCAGAAACAGCATGGACTAACACTACACATATTTCGCCATGCCATGGCATGCTTTTTCGCTGCGAAACGAAAAATCAAATGGGCTTTTCCAACTTCGGATCAAATTGTGGCTTCTTCTATCCTTAGCCATCTAAGACCTTAATGAACCTTGGAAAACATATTTTAACCACCAAAATTAATAGATTTTGAATTTGTCTTATATAAGAAGAATAATATTTAAATCTTATTTTACTAAGTGAGGTCTACTAAATAGATTAGATCGCACTGTTAAATTTAATCATTTAAAATTTCAAATATTAGGTTAATCGAAAGGTTTCTTTAATACTCATTAAAAAAAAACTTTTTTGGCTATAAAATTAACACTTGATAAATATCAATTAAAGTAATGTCCATCATATTATTATATATATTATTTGTTGATTAACTACCACTGAATAGAACTTTTACTCTTATAAGTGTTAGCGGGAGACAACCTTTTATATGTCCACAACGAAATATGGCAAGCCAAACTAAAGCAAGGCATTGATTGATGACCCAGGTTCTCTTTACCAAGTTAATTGCTTTAATTCATCGTGTATTATTATTGGTCACTGATCCCATTACTTGGTGCTTTTCGGTTATGCCATGAAAAGGCACACGTATCTTTGTGAAATTCACGATTCCTTGTGTGTTGCGAAGTTTTCTATTCTTTTGGTCTTGTCCGGCTCCTTTCATTACTCTCATCATTAACTTTTGGGACATTAAATCAGTCTTGTAATCTTGTCAGTTTCATAGTTCTTCGTTTTGGATACCCAGAGTTAATAACACGAAACACTCAATTCATACGAATAATTCTAAATCTTCTTACCTTTTATTCTTACAAATCTTTCTAATTATTAAATAAAAAGTATTTAATATATTTTATGTTTTCAACCTAATAATCAGAACATCTTCGTTTAATACTTTTATAAAGTAGTAATAGGATACACCAAAGCTCAGTCCATTTTCCATACTCATTCTAATCTTTCTCCTCAATTATCATGGCTCTTCTACCAACCTGCCCCTCTTCCTTCACTTATAGATTCAGTTATGATTTGTTCATCAGCCTTAGGGTTTTAGATACGCGTCACGGTTTCACCGGTCATCTCTACAAAGCGCTTTGTGACAGTGGAATCCACACCTTCATTGACGCTGAGGAGCTTCAAAAAGGAGAGGAAATCACACCATCACTTCTCAAGCAACTGAAGAATCCAGGATTGCCATCGTCGTGCTCTCTAACAACTATGCATCTTCATCGTTTTGCTTAGATGAACTTTCCGACATTCTTCACTGTGTTAACCAAAAAGGTCGATTAGTTTGGCCTATTTTCTATATGTGGATCCTTCCCAAGACAACAAACTGGGGCCTATGTAGAAGTATTAGCTAAGCCCGAAAAGAACTTCATGGATAACAAGGAAAAGGTCAAGAATTGGAGGAATGCTCTTCAACAAGTAGCTAAAGTTATCTGGCTGGCATATCAAGCTTGGATACGTTCTTATTATGTCATGTTATTTACGTTCTATATGTCTAATTATTATGCCTTGACTTATAGTAATCACTATTACAAACACATGCATGATGCATAAGCATATGACTTCACTTCTTTTATTGGATATAGGGATGGATATGAACACGAGTTTATTGGAAAGATCGTTCAAGAGGTCTCAAGAAAGATCATTCGTGTTCCTTTGTCTGTTGCTTAATATCCAGTTGGGTTGGAGTCTCGCGTGCCAGAAGTAATTTCTCTTTTCGATATTGGGTCTAATGATAAAGTTCACATGGTATTGGTGTCATAGGTAAAACGACCCTTGCTCTAGCAGTTTATAATTCAATTGCAGATCATTTTGAAGGTTTATGTTTTCTTGAAAAATCAACAAAACATGGAGTACTACATCTCCAAAAGATCCTTCTTTCTATAACACTTGGAGAGAAAAAAAAGAGTTAATAAATCTCAGTGAAGGAATTTCAATAATAAAACATAGACTCCAGCACAAAAGCTTCTTTTGATTCTAGATGATGTCCACAAGCGGGAGCAGTTACAGGCTATTGCTGGAAGAGGCGATTGGTTTGGTCATGGCAGTAGATTCATTACACCAATCGAGACAAACAGTTGCTAGCTTGTCTGTTGAAAGAACATACGAGGTGGGAGAGTTGAATCAGAAAGATGCTGTTGAATTGCTCAAACGGAATGCTTTCAAAGCTGATAAAGCTAGTTCGAGTTATGTGGATGTTTTAAATCGTGCAATCACTTATGCTTCTGGGCTTCCTTTAGCTTTGGAAGTAATAGGATCTAACTTGCTTTAAAAGGGCATAGAAGAATGGAAATCTGCATTAGCCAAGTAGGAAAGAATTCCTCATAAAGACATCCTACAGATACTTGAAGTGAGCTTTGATGCTTTGGAGGAAGAAGAGCAAAGAGTTTTCCTTGACATTGCATGTTGCTTCAAAGGATATGAATTGGAAAAGGTTGAAGATATACTTCAGGCTCATTATGGTGTCTCCGTGAAATATCATGTAAGAGTGTTATTTGAAAAATTTATTGTAAAGCTTCGTCAGAATTGCTTTGGTCGTGTTTATGTGAAATTATATGATTTGATAGAGGATATGGGTAGAGAAATTGTCCGACGAGAGTCACCAAAAGAACCTGGAAAACGCAGTAGATTAATGGAGAGGCCTACAAGAAGATGAAAAACCTCAAAACACTCATAATTAGAAATGGCCGTTTTTCCAGAGATCCTGAACATCTTCCAAAATGTTTAAGAATATTCGACTGGTGTAAATATCCTTTCCCTTATTTACCGTCTGATTTTAGCCCAGAGAATCTTGTTATATTCAAGTTACCCCATAGTTGGTTGACATCGATTGAGTGGGTCGGGTCAAGGAAGAAGGCGAGTTTTAAACTTGAATCGGTGTGATTGTCTAACAGTGATACCTGATGTATCTGGTTTGCCAAATCTAGAAGAATTATCATTTGAATGGTGTCGAAATTTAATTGCAATCGTGAGTCTGCAGGGTTGCTGAGTAAACTCAAAATTTTGAGAGCTGGTCTCTGTGAGAAGCTTATGAAATGTCCACCCCTCAAGTTACCCTCTCTTGAATACCTGGACCTTCATGATTGTTCTAGTCTTGAATATTTTCCAAAAATATTAGTAGAGATGGAAAATATAACTAAGCTTAATTTCTTGGGGGGCGTTGGCTCTTGCATGAAACAAGTGCCACATTCATTTAGAAATATTACACGGCTTTCACAATTAGAGCTACGGAGCATTGAAAGCATTGAGTTACCAACTAGCATTTTCATGATGCCAGAGTTGACTCGTATTACTACGGAGGGATACGGCAAAGAGTGTGAGATACACCTAAAAGAGGATTATTATAAAGGTGAAAAACAAACGAGCTCAATGCTGTCAGTGTCATCAAACCTGAAATGCCTCACTTTCCTTAGATGGAATCTATCAGATGAATTTTGGACAATAGGTCTCACGTGGTTTGTTAACGTGAAAGAATTAAACCTATCTTACAATAATTTCACAATTGTTCCACAATGCATCAAAGAATACCGCTCTTTACGGAAGCTTTACTTGAATGGTTGCAAGCGGCTTCGAGAAATTAGAGGGATTCCACCAAGCTTAGAATATTTCTCTGCGGAAAATTGTGAATCCTTGACTATCTCACAGAGAAGCGTGTTGTTGGCATTAAGTCCTGTGTTGTTTGTTGATGTGAAAGAATTAAACCTGTAGTTCAATAATTTCACAATCATTCCTGAATGCATCAAAGAATGTCGCTTTCTACGAAATCTTTACTTGGATCATTGTGACCAACTTGAAGAAATTAGAGGGATTCCACAAAGCTTAAAAAAATTGTCTACATGGGATGTAATTCCTTGAGTTCCTGGTGCAGAAGCATGTTAACGAATCAGGTTTGTTTAAATTTCACTTTTTAATGTAATGTATTTGATAGTTTTTATCGTCACTAAACAAACTTATGAATTAGTTGTTGACCACTAAAAGGAATTGCATGGGCCTGGAAACACTTATTTTTGGGTGCCAAGCCCAAAAGCAGCATGGATTCCAGAGTGGTTCAAGCACCAGAGCAGTGGAAAGTCAACTTCTTTCTAGATTCGTAACAAGTTTCCTGACGTAGTTCTCTGTCTTGTTCTTCCGCCTGCATGGTTCAATGAATGTACAAATGTGACCATCAATGACAGGAGATTTCCTCTCTTTTTGAAACACGATTCCTGTTGTATGAGGTATGACCGTTTAGGTGTGTGCCTAGGCCATACATTTCTTGTTCATATGAAAAAGAATATCATAGACTTTGGCGGTATATATGGTCTGGACAGAGTGCTTAAAGAAAATGAGTGGAATCATGAGGAGGTTGCAATAAATGAGTCTTATAGAAAATTAAACTCAATGGATATTAACCAGATGAGGGTTGGAATCCATGTATTGAAAGAGAGAAGTACCATGAAGGATATTAAATTCACCAATCCTTATCAAAAGGAAAAACTAGTCTAGAATTGCCCACCACCTCCACAGCATGAGCTTACTCTCTAGAATGGAACACTTGGTTATTGCTCTCCATTTTCGTTTATGATGTCTACAAAGGGGAATGGATCAACTCTTCCAATTCATAGTATTTGTATGCCAACAAAGATAAATCATGTATATTATGTTCATGTGGTATTGCCCTCAATAATTTCCCTCCTTTTAGCCGCAAGTGTTTTACTTGTTATCACCATGGTATAAGCAACAAGATTTCTAGAAGAATTAAACTGAAATTTCAATTCAGATGCTGTGCTTTTAGGTCATCATGTTCTGCATTCTCTTCAAGTCTTTTGATTTTCAGCGTCAAACGTCATTCTTCTAGGACTTGAGATAACGAGGTGAGTTTTTGAAAAAGCTGAACCTAGTTGTTGAAAGCTAAAATATTTACTTTTTCGTTTTTATGCACATGTGGATGTTAAGAATTCGGTAAATGCATACACTTCCCTTTTGAAGTTTTCTTTTTTGAAAGAGTGTGAAGAATTACACCCTTAATGATCAATATAATCTGATTGGATTGATTTTGGTTCCAGGAGCCTTAGGCTAATATTTGCCAAAAGGATAGTGGGTGATATGTTTGGGGGTGACAAACAATTAACAATGACAGATTGGTGGGTCGTTCTCTTGTACAATGCTTCGAATATAACTTAGGGGCAATTGGCAAAGTACAAAACATTTGTTCAACATGATTGCCATGGAGCTAGCTACTTTTGCCATTTTTTGTTTGAATTTATGTAAATTGTGGGGCAGCAAACCTGAATATATTAAGTGACTGGTTCCATCAGTGCTTACCTATATATGAGTTGTGTTACCTTTCCATTGATGTAATTTGTGCAGGTGCTAGAGGTGATGAAGATAATTTTATGCAGAAACATGCCATGCTAACATAAAGTGGATCATATCAAATCTTAGTTACAGAATTTTTTTCAGTTGGTTATAATATTTTCATAACAAATTTTTATGGTAATTTTTTACAATAATAAACTTTTTATCTATTTCTTTTTTAACAAATCACTCATATTACTAGTTTTTTTCCCCCCCTCTAATCTTCTTATTTTATTTTAAGTTATAGCAAAAATTTATAAAACTTTTATACAAATAGCATTTATCTTTCTCAATTACCCTGTACACTACATACTATAAATTAATAATTTTATTGTGTCATGTACTAACTAATTTTTTTCAAAGGTTTTGTGATATAATATAATAACATTTTTAATGTATGTTTACAATGCATGATAAAAAATCAATAAATAATATTTTTTATTAAAATAATAGTATTATGTTGGCAATATATAAAAATTTTAATATTATTTCATTTTAATAAATAATTATTACATTTAAATTTTTATTATATATAAAAGATAAGATTTTGTTAACCTCGGCACTTAAAATTAATTTTAATCATCTATAAAAATTTATAAAAAAATTACATATTTTTATATTAAAGTTTTAAAAATATAATAAATATATATTTTTAATAAAATTTATTATTATAAATTGTTTATTCTTAACTTTAAGAATTAAAATTAATAAAACTTAAAAAAAATAAATTTTAAAAAATATATAAAAGTGACAAACATAAATAATGTCTATCATCGAACATATGAATAAACAAATAATGAATTGTTTTAGTTTAAGTTATGATTTCAAAATTTGTTATCCATTATAGTCTTATTTAATTTGAACATAATTATTATATAACATAACATGATAAAATAAAAAAATTATAAATGTTATTAATATTTTTTAATTAAAATTTTATTTTAATAATATATATTACCAACCTTTATTATACATGTTATTAAAATAAAACTTTAGTTTTAATAAAGTAACAAGGCAAACCCTTATATTACTTACACTTAAATTTTGTCTTAAAATAAAATAGTGGATTGATAGTATATTTGATTTCTTACGATACATGTTCATAAATCATACTCTCTCTAGTTTTTTTATAAGAAACAAAATATAATTTTTTTTAGTCTTTATTATAAGAAATAAATGATAAATTTAAGATGTATTAATTATTAAATTTCTTTTATACCTTTTTTTTATTATATTATTAAATATACAAATTACTAACTATATCATTTAATATATGGATATTTTTGAAATAAAATTTATATTTATGAAAAACATAACATGCTTAATTGCTTTCCTTAGTCCTAGTGATTTAATATTGTGTTTTTTTTATAAAAAAGACTGGAGAGAGTACTAAATAAAAATACTTGTTATACTATTCTTAAATTTAAAGAAATATTGAATACTCTATTTAAATTATACTAAGATATTAAATGATATTTATATTTTTTTTAAAGATACCATTAGTTTTATAAAAGCATGTAATACTCTTCCATTTCTCATAGCACCTTAGAATGTACCCTAAATATAACTTAGTACATTTGAATACATTTAAATCCTTTCTAACATTTTTTTGAAAAACAGAGTCATTCATTTCAGCATCTATATGCCTATGTTTATCCCTCAGCTGTGTCCCCCAACCATGAATAAAATAAAAGGCTTCCTCCAAAGAAAGTCATAACTGTCTATTCACAACCTTCGGGAAGGGCCACAATTAATCCTACCCTATGCTCACTCTCATAAATGTGTGCATTATTCCGGAGCCATGCCCAACTACCCAAATTTATTTGTATAAGCCTTTGCCTTTTTCTTTTAATCTCAAACACTGTTTTAAAATTAAAACTAAAAATCACAGTTTAAATTAAAGTTAAGATTTAGTAATTTTACATTTATTTTAATATAAACACTGTTGTAAGTTAAAAATAGTTGTGCAGTGTACAATTGAGTCTTATAAAACAGCTTTTATAGCACTGTATTTTAGGTAAATGAAGTATTTATACGTATATAGTTTTTCATTAATATTTATTTATATTTTATAAATATATTGTAAATTAAGATAAATTTATTTAATAAAAAAAATTCAATTTTACATTTAAATTAATAAATTTTATTATTATAAACATATAAAATAAAAATTAAACAAAAATTACTTTAAGTGAATCTAACCACACAATTACACACACATGTACACACGAGCATGTATGAACACACGACCTTTTAATAATAATTTTTTATTTTGATAAATATTAACTAATATTTCAATAAAAAGTAATTTTAATTTCTTAATAATTGTTATTACGATAGAGTATTGATTTTCAGCAGAGTACGCTTAGAATTTTTGTTTTTTGTTTTTTTATTAGATTATTATTATTATTATTATCGTTCATACATTATCATATTATTATAATACGATCAAATGACATATTATAATAAAATAATAAATAGTGTTATGTCTACAAAATAAAGATTTAAAATTAATAATAAATGTTATTTTGTGTATAAATTTTAATTATAATTATTTTATTATTTTGACAATTTTTTATTTAATTTTTATTCAGTTTGTATATTTTTAATCTATTTTTCTACCATGTCATTATATGTAGCTCCGCCCCCGGTATTTTTACTCAATTTTATTTCCAGTCCATTTGAATAATTTTTGTTCACTTAAGAATTAGTTAAAAGTAAAACTGATAATATTTACAAAAACTTTTCACTCATGAACGGTGTTCTAACTTTTAAGCATTTGTCTTATATTAATAATAATTTGTGTTTATAGAGTAAAATATTTGTTAGGCAAGAGAAAGGAAAATAGTGAATTAATATTATTTAGTTCGAAGGCACTTTAAAACGGGCACGTTCTCCACACCACAGAGAAAATAGAAAAGAAAAGGAAATTGAATGAGAATCCCTCCCTGTCTGCCACAATCACCATCCCATTTGCATTTCAATTTCATTTCCTTCTCGATCTTTCCGTCCATCGACAGAGCCACATTCTCAATTTCTCTTCGCAGATCCAAAATCATTGATCCGAGATGAGCACCGGCGACCTTCTCAACATCGACCCTCTCGAACTTAAGTTCTTCTGTGCGTTTGTTATGTTCTTTTTTCCGTCGATCTTTTTCTCTTCTCCTAGGGTTTGTCGCGTCTGTTTGATTTGGATTTGGATTTTGCATTCTCGTTCCATGTTTCAGTTGAGCTGAAGAAGCAGATCTCATGTACTCTTCAATTGTCAAATAAGACCGACAGCTATGTAGCTTTCAAGGTAAACCTTTCATTGCACACCCTATGCTTCCAACTCCTCGTTTCTTAATGCTTAATGTTTTTCCCCTTTGGTTTTGGAGTACGATTTGATTGTGATTGTGATTTTACCGTTGTTTTTTGTTTTCAGCGTCTCGCGAGATTCGCATGTTTGATTTCGTATTTTGATATTTTTTTTTTCATGCAGGTGAAAACGACAAATCCCAAGAAGTATTGTGTTCGTCCAAACACTGGAATTGTCTCGCCACGATCAACGTGTGATGTTATAGGTACCAAAGTGAATAGATATATTACCTTTTCGCCCTTTTACTTTCTTTTTTAAATTTATCGTTAATTAATGGCTTTGTGACATTTGGTGTTGTACAGTTACGATGCAAGCGCAAAAGGAAGCTCCAGCTGATATGCAATGCAAGGATAAGTTTCTTCTTCAGAGCGTAAAAACACCTGATGGAGCCACCCCAAAGGATATCACTGCAGAAATGGTATAATACATCAGGCTAACCACTGCAATTTCCCTTGATTCTTTTATCCTATTTATTATATTGACAAGACTCGTGCCATTGGGATTATGTAGTTCAACAAGGAAGCAGGGCATGTGGTTGAGGAGTGCAAATTGAGAGTGCTGTATATTCCTCCACCACAGCCTCCATCTCCAGTCCCAGAAGGTTCCGAGGAAGGGTCATCACCTAGAGCTTCTGTTTCCGAAAATGGAAACTTCAATGGTGCTGACTCCACGACGGTGGGTTATTGACTTGCTCCTGGTTTAGATAACCTTTCTTGTTTCTCTATAGAAGACCTAATGGTGTCAACTTGGATAACTTTCTCTTTGGGTATTGCAGGTAACAAGAGCATTTACTGAACGACTTGAGGGTCCAGAAAAATCTGCAGAGGTAAAGCAAAGCAATTTTTCGTTTTGAGTGTATATGTTATTCGTACACAATCAACATGCATTTTGATTAAGCGTACCTTTTTCAGGAAAGAATACAAAGGAGAATTGAACATGTGTCACTTGTTCAATTTACATTCTGTTGCAACTTGTTTTGACTGACTTTTTCTCTCTCTCTCTCTCTCTCTTGGGGTTGGGGTTCTGGGCTGTCATACATTATTGCTAAGATGGTGATGCAGATATACGCATTAGGATACAATCTTATGCTCTTTCTTGAAGTATACCGATCGGAAGAAAATTTCATAGCTGAGTTTTGTGCTCAGGTGTTTGGTTACTAGATATGAGAATTAGTAGTTTTAACGAGAGTAGTTATTAATGAAGATGACTTTGAAATTGAGATTTCTTGCTCTGTTGTTGTTGAAGGACTTATTTTATTTCTTTTCGTATCCCCCCCTGAAGGCATTCACTACTTTCATTGTTGAAGAATTCTCAAAATCACTCATGTAATCTTAAAAAATGGCATCAAATGCATATACATAATGTATGTACTCGTGTAATGCAGCTATTTATGTAAACAGATGGCTTACGGAAACAGATATTTATGTGCGTAGTGGCTTTATTTTGATTATGGTGGCTTTGTCACAGGCAAAAGTTCTTATCTCAAGGTTGTCTGAAGAGAAGAATAATGCAATTCTACAAAATAACAAGCTTCGTCAGGAACTGGTGAGGATTTACAAAATATATATTGATAAACTATATCACTTCATCGAACTGACCTGTGTTTCTCCTCATTTCCTGGCCGGAGAGTTAAATATGAAATATGAACTCTCTTGATCTGGAGTATTACTATTACCCTTCCTTAAGTCGGAAGTGCAGTTCTAAAACTGAAGGAAAGCACCAGATATAGTAAGAGGATAATCATATTTGTTTGGATTGGTCACTGGTTCACAAGTGAGCCTGGTGCATGTGCTGATTTTCTTGGGAAGGACTTACTTTTTTTATTCTTCTCTTTTTTAACATAATACACTTATGTATAATCTAAATAGATGAGAATGGTTTTGTTTTTGGTTTTATTTTCTCCCGTCATCCTTTGGTTTTTGCTTACTAAAATACAGTTTATGTTATTGGGGCAGTATTTGCCTTGGATATCATGCTATTTTTGTCATCTCAGCGTCTGACTTGTCATCATATGCCCTTTCTAACTATTTCTTTGGAAACCTGACTTGAACTGAAAAGTAAAAACACATTATGTTGTTTGTTAGAAGTGAAACTTGGAACCATTTAATGGTTTTTGTGAAGGTAACTTTAGGAGAGGGTCTTTGCTAGCATAGGGTTTTCACTCTTTAATTTCTTCCTAAAAATGTTTTAAGGGTGCTGAATCAATCTTTCCTTTTCTTCATTTGCTGCATTGATTATGATTATCAATTTCTTGGCACTGGGAGACCAAGGAACATAGATTTTCAGCACCAGTATTGAGTTTTTGTTGAATGAACAATTGTGTGGGAGTTGGTTATTTTTGCTTCCTGTGGTTTCATATTAATTCCATGTTAGGGACACATTTCCTGCCTATTGCTTTCTCACCCTGTTACGTTGAACTTGAAAATTGAAACAAGTCAAATGATGAGAGAATTTTTAGTTGCACATGTGATGACATTTTTTTTAAGGCTTAAATATATTTTTTGTTCTCACATTTTAGCAAGTTTTTGGTTTTAGTACTTTCAAATGATTTTTTTTTGTTTTACTTTCGACTTTTTTTTATAAATTTTTGTTTTTAGTCTCTAACATTGATCTGTTCATTGAGATTAAACAAAAATTTATAAATAAGTAGGGATTAAAAAAAAAAATCATTTAAATGTGAGGACCAAAAACATATTTAAGCTTTTTTTTAAATATATAGATCATAAGTATACGATGACAGAAGATCTTGGTATGATGTATTTGTATTAAAGCAACTGAACTAAGCAACCGATTATATATTGTTGCTTTTTAACTGGGGGAAACACTTTGATGATCTTATTACCTGCAGGATCTGCTCAGACGTGAAAGCAACAAAAATCGTGGGGGTGTCTCTATGGTCATTGTCATATTAATTGGCTTACTTGGCATATTTATGGGGTATCTCATGAAGAGGACCTAAGTATTTTCCAGATTTGATCCTTCGCCATACAGTTTGATCTTAGTTTTCTTGTTGTTCCTGACTATTCAAGTAATGATGACGAGAGGCAAAATAGATTAATTCAGCAGGTGTTGTTTTTTGTTGGGGTGGGGTCGATAATATGGACGTAGAAGAAACATTAGTTGAAAGTGTGGGTCAACGGTTTCTTGAAGAGCAGATTACTGTGTACTGACTCATGCTTTCGGTGACATGCATTCTTTTTTGTAACTTTAAGGGAAATTTGATTTCCGTGGTTCATCCAGTGACTGTTTGGAAATGTCAACAATGACCACTAATAGCATGCATATTAAGAATATGGTATGGGACATTGTGTTTACTGTTCATGAGAAGAATATTACTTTGTAGTTAGATTTCTAAAAGGCAGATAAAAGCTCATTATTTGACTTTGGTCATCACATTATCGAGCACATGTATGGTCTGGGTTATTTCCGAGGAAATGATCATTTTTTTAAGAAAAAAAGACTTTCTAAAATTTTGCAGAAACGAGTTATTTATCTAAAATAAGTTAAATCAGACGCGGATAGAGATGGAACCGTTTTGCTGTATCTTAGTGATACAGGGTATTTCACCTTTTCAGCATTTTGAGGAATTATTATTGAAAAGAACTAGTGGGCCTCTTTATTATATTTTAAAAAAATTATTTCAAACAAATTCTGTATTTGGATTTCTTTTTTGCCATGTCACCTTTTAGTTTTACACTTGCAAAGGTGTAAAACTATTTTTTAAAGGAGTTTTGTACAGTAGGCAAAAGTAAAGAGATCATGACACAGTTTAAGACATGTTAAGATTTGAAGTATTTTTGCCTTTTTTGTAGCAAAGTGGTATTATTTTTTTACATTTCAATTTGAATTTAGATGGCTAAAGATTGTTATCATGTGTTGAAATCTGGACAAGTTTTTCTTATGACACAAGCAAAAATTAGTTTGACATTGTGCTTTCCACTCCATTTGATTAGAAAAGAAAGGAAATGATAATAATAATTTTTAAAAAAATATCTTTAATTTATTCTATTATCTCTCTTCTTTTTTCTCTATTTTTACATATTTTTAAATATATTAAATTATTTATATATTTTTTATAAATAAAAAATAAATAACTTGTACATAATAAAAAAATAAATTTAATTTAATAAAAAAAAAAGTAATTTATACTTTTCTGTATGTTTATGTTATATTCTTCTTTTTATCACATTTTCATCAAACATTGAATATGATAAAAGTTTATCCTTAGTGCTCTCAACTTTTTTTTGTTTTCAAGATAAAAGTCATGTTCTATTTTGATATGAATATTCTCTTCTCTCTTTTTTTTTTTTTACGGACCTCAGCGTTTCCTATTTTTATATTCTAATATTTTAAGTGATAAGAAAATTAAGAATATAAAGTAAAATAAATTTCGTAAAGTTAAATTAAGTTAGCCAATGTCAAAGAAAAAATTATTCTAAATCTTGACACGTGGTATTAACAATTCTCAACGGAAAACTCTTTAAAAAAGAAAAATAGTTTTGCACCTACAAATTGTAAAACTAAAGTTGACATGATAGAAAACATTTTAAATAGAGAATTTGTTTGAAAATATAAATAATTTAATAAATATTTTTTTAAAAATAATAAAAACCCCTCATAGTTACCTAGAACCTATTTTTTAATCTCCAAGTGGTAAAGAAACCAAAGAAAAGCTGAATGTTTGGGGCTATTGTTTGCAGGGGCCAGAAAGGAACAGTGGTAGTACTCTCAACTGTGGAAAAGAAGAGATGAAAAACTATTTTCTGTGTTATTCCAAGGAACCGAGCAAAAGCATATATATACGGGGTCAGCTCCAAAAAATATCCTAACAGCAGTACAGAGTTAATATAAAGAATTAAAGGAAATCAAGAACAAATCAGAGACAAATCTGATGCCTATAGTTACGTTCCTAAACTTATGCGTAATACAATATTACTCCTACAATCATGGTACAGGTACATCATATTTCTGCCAATATCAACAATTGAATAAATACTTACCAATCCATATTTTATTCCAAACACAATAAATAACTATATTTTCAACAGAATAATCTGTTTTTGGTATGAATGATGGGCTCTAATTCACCCCAAATTTTGAATTTCTACAAATGTTAGATTCTGACTACCAAAACGGTCATATGCGTTGGCTACGAACGGTCTCCGTCCTTGGTTGGTACTGAAGGGAGAATAGAAGACACTACACTCTTTTATTTGGTTGCTACTGAAAAGGAAAAGGACTAGTCTCAAACCTAACAGAGAAAGTTGACATTAGTGAGGTCCTGGCTTGTATAACCCTTTTGTCCTTTGGGATAGTGTTACTGAACCGATAAAAACTAGATAAAATTCAATCAATTTACGTGCTACACAAGCTAAAGAGGTGAATATGGTTTTTCCAATAATACAAAAATTATAGCAAATGAGCAGATAGTATCCTTCAAACCAATCTCTTTAACAAAATTATAACGGAAAGTTCAAAGTTAATGGCAATTTTCAGCCTTGATTTGGTAGCCATTCCCTCGTGAATAAACAAAGATCAGTTCGTTTCCATCACAAAAGATACGAATAGTTGCAACAACAAAAAAGTTGCGGCATGCAATTCAACCCTGATAATGACTACGACAAGTAATGTTTCTCTGAAGAATTCAACCGGTCGCGCAAATTAAACGTGCAACAACAGGGCCTTTGAAACATAGGCGTTTCTCCATTCAATTAAACTTAAAGAAGAGGCAGTAAAAGTGTATAAATTTCCTAACAAACAGAAAATGAAGCACTGAGCAAGTTCGTGACAAACGCATAACAAAAAGAAAAACGAGAGGGGACAAATCAAGAATCATCGTCTTTGTTCTTGGGTTTCCTGTAAGTGTGTTCGACGTGGTTGGCCATGGAAAGGGCGGTGGAAGCGAGCTTCTTAACGTTGGGCATTTTGTAGTTTTGGGCTACGTACACACCGAAAGCTGTGCCTACAATGAACGAAAAGCTGCCTTTAATAAAACCCATTGCCAAACAAGACTCTTGAGGGTTTTGGATTTGCAGACAAAAGAGAAAGTATCGCTATTTTAGCGTATTCCAGGTGGCTTCTTTTATACTCCTCTCTCTCCATTGGTCCCTATCTTATAACCCCTTCCCCAAGCAATTTTTCTTTAACAACAAATAAAAGAAAACCCTTCGTCAAGCAATACCATCCTCCTCTGTCATAGGGGGGCCCAGATATTCGTTTCTCATGCGGACTAAGATTTGGTCAAATTAAATTAATGAAAAAAAAAACATAAAACATAATCATCACATACATTGTTTTAGTGCCTCTTTTTTTTTTATGGTAATTATATTTTATAATTATAAAAATATGAGATTTTATGTGAAATTACAGGAATATGATTTAATTTAAAAGTGGTCATTGGCATTTTTATATAAATTAAAAAAATTATTTTGAAAAAATAAAGTTGTTATTGGCCACATTAAAAATATTAAAACTTGTCATTGGCGACAAAAAAAATTTAAAAAGTCTAAATCTCTGACAATATTTAAATTTTAAAAAATAATTAAAAAACTAAAAAGTTATTATTAATAACTTTTAATTATTATATTATAAATATTCAAATCTTCATTCGTAACAAATTTTAAGGGAAGGCAGGAGAGGTGTTTTAATATAATTTGAATTCTTGAGAAAAATATGAGTGTTCTAATAATAATATTTTTTAATGGTGATATTTTTATAAACACTCGTGATAGTGTGTTATTTATGTGTAAAAATTCAATATATGTGTATATGACAAATAGTGTATTATTTAGAGAGGTAAAGTATTGGATTGTTCAATATATTTATTGAGGTGAATTTTTAAAAATAGTAGAAAGTATTATGTATAGGTATCCAATATCCATCTTTAGCAGTTTCATGTAATATCATACAATTTAAATAACGAGGAATGATGATATCAAACTAATGTTTCATATACATCAACATCATCGTCCTCCCATTTTCTTCATTGAGTTTTATGTTGTTTTCAACGAAAATAATAAAGAAATATATGTAAGCACAGTGCTAAATAGAGAGATAAACTGAGAACAAAACAATAATAAAAATGGTAAAAACTATAAAGAACAATATGGAAACAATAAAGATAGTAAAGATAACATTATGGATAATAATATTAATGATATGAGCCCTATCTGTCATTTGTATTAAGAGCCCTATTCCTTTAATATATTTTGTTTGTCTTATTTAATATTTTATTTTTTCTTTAATATTTAAAATAAGATAAAATTCACTTTTTTTATTGAGTATTGTTTTTACTATTTTTACATGTTTGAATTATAAACTGCCCAGTCTAAATCTTTGCTTCATTCATACATAACATATTTGGCAAAATTATAATTGAAATACATTTGAATGTTATTTTGAATTTCAAATAAGGTTTGAGAAGAAGAGAAATTTTTTTTCATTGATATAGTCTTAATTCGAAAACTATGATCCAAGCACATGGATTGTCAACACGCTGATATACAATATTTCTTTTATTTGATTATATAATATCTAAGTAAAATTTTCTTCTTACTACAATTTCCTTAACAAGTTTTTAAAACAATTTATACTGAACTATGAAATTTTATAAAAAGTTTTAAAGATATGAAAACTCAAATATGGTCAATAACAAGTTTTTCACAGATTTAGAGATAAAAAAAACTAAAAATGAAAAAAATTAAAGTGATAACTTTTTTTAAAAATTTTAAACTAATTAAATATTTAATTTTTTTTAGTACCAAAAGTCATTATTGACAATTTTTAAATTTTTATAATTTTTTCTCAAAATTTCACACTTTTACATTTTAATTTTTTAATATATTGAAAATTCTCCCTACACATTTTTTATTATTTATTAAAATAACAATATAGATAGAAATCTTATAAATGGGTAGAGCATCACATAATTAACATGACAATGTTTATCAACTTCTTGTGAAACATTTAATAAAACTTCTCTCTTTTATAATTTATTTCTTACGTCAACTTTTTAATAATAAAATTATAAATTGATGTGTGAATTTCATTATCCTTAGTTGCAATCATTTTATTTTTATTTTTATTTTTAAATTTGAAATAAAAAATATTATTTTATTTTCTCTAATTACTTTATGTAAATTTTTAAAACTTCTACAAATATCTTTATTCATATAAAATTCATAATACTTAATATATTATTTATGTTATTTTAAAATAAATTATATTTGAAATTTAATTAAATTTTTATTATTTTATACATATTATTTATGATTATAAAATTAAGTTAAAATAATTTTTTAAAAATTATTATTTCATATAATTTTATTATATATTTATTTTAAACTAGAATCTAGTGCAATCTTTACTAGTTACCTACTAAATCCAAGATTTAGTTTCCAGCAATAAAATAAAACTACCAGAAGATGGTAAATAATTTAAAAATAGTAACTATAAAATAGAATTATAGGAATATGACATGTTTCATGAATATACGTGAATATAGTATTCTAAAAAATATTATTGGCAATTTTTCTATGAAAGAGAAGAAAAATTGTAATTTGAAAGACTCCATTGACATGATCTTGAGCTCTCAAGATATTTGAAAACTTGTCATTCTGACTTTTAAACTTGCAACATTTCTGCAACCACCTGAATGCCATTGATGGACTCTAGCGATGCTAAAAAATTGCTATTGGTGATCTTTGACTTGCTTAATAGTCTTTTACTCGCTATTGTAATTGTTTACGCTTGTTAGTCATTTCTAGACCCTAAAAAATCATCAAAGACGAATTTTAGATCAGGAAGCTTTGTAGGTATTGACATTGGTGCACTGAAAAATCACTAATAATGAAGCTATAAATCTCCAAAAGTACAATGAGAACCCATGCACAAGGAAGAGAGAGAAGTTGTGTAAAGAAGAAGGAGAAGGGAAAAAGTGGGTTGTGAGGTTGAAGAAAGGTGGAAAAAATTGAGTTAAAACATTTTTAAATTTAAAATAAAAAAATATTACAAAGATGGTTAGAAATTCTACTATGGATTTAAGAATGCATATTTTAGAAAATATTCGCAATTTAAATGTAAGTTATGCTTTTGTTAATTTTTATACTTTAATTTGAATTTAAACTTGATTACAAATTTGTTATATCCATAATTTTGAGTATTTGAGAATAAAATATACATATATCCATAATTTTGAAATAGCTTTGTAAGGATTTTTGTCCCAAAATTTAGGCTTCATTTGTAATACTATGGAAAATTTTTCCTTAGCAATACAATTTGACGGATTTTAGGTTTTTTAGAGGTTTGAATCTCTGATTGGGAGTCTACAGAGACAGACTTTGCTTTCAACATAGATGGTAAGTCAGAGTATAACATTATTTATACCAATCATGATTATGCTAAAGATACTATTGTCTATATCTTAGTTACAAGATTTTTCGGTCAACTCAAAGGTTGGTGGGATAAATTTTATTCAAACAAAATTAATCAAATTAATTTTCTCAAAAAATAAGTTTCTTTTGCTAATATTGATAATCAGTTGAGGAACTCATCACTTCATAAAAGAATTCAAACTCTTTTAGAATCTATTCAATCTTCCATCTGTCCTGATCTTCCTAATACTTTCTAGAATGGAAAAAAGCATATCATCAATCTTCCCTATGAGGCAGACTTCAAAGAAAGTCAAATTCCTACTAAGGCAAGACCCATTAAAATGAATGAAGAACTCATTCAATATTATCAAAAAGAGATTAAGAATCTCTTAGACAAAAAACTCATCAGAAAAAAAATAAGAGTTCATGGTCTTGTTCTACTTTTTATGTTAATAAATAATAGAAAGAGACACTCCCAAGTTAGTAATTAACTACAAACCTCTCAACCAGACTGTTCAATTGATTAGGTATCTTATTCCTAATAATAATAATAATAATTATTATTATTATTCTAAATTTTGTTAATAAATTAAAATTATGAAATAATTGTAATTATAATCTACCTTTAACACTAAATTAATGCACTCAAATAGATTTGTAGTCATATGACCCCACCTATAGCCTCCATCAAATGTTAGAATCCATTTCTCTCATGAAATTTCATTAAGCCAGTTTGAATAAATCTCTCCATGTGATAAATATATAAAATGGGTAACTTTAAATGATGATTTGAGCACTTTTCATATTGAATGTTTAGATTTTTTGGTTAAAATTTCTCTTAAACTTGAAACTTTTGCAATTACTTGCATATTTTAAGAAAAGAATACAAATATAAGTGTTTTGATTCCTTTTTAATATATTTTGTAGTTGGAATCAGGAGAAAGATATCACTCAAATTTGAAGAAAATTGAAAAAGTAAGAAAAATGTCATATAAAGCATGAAATTGTAGAAAAGTCAACTTCTGGAGATTTCTCGCTATAGCAAAATACCCTCGCTGTAGCGAAAATGCTTAAATTTATGAAAACGATTATGTACTCCTCTTACTACAGCGAGAATTTGTCGCCATATCAAGAGTTATTTGTATTGCTGCAGTGAGTGACAAATAAAATGACCTAATTTTTATCTTCATATTTTGCTACAGAGAAGAGATGTCGCTGTAGCGAGAGAAGCTACGTTCATACCAGTATAAAAAGCGGCTTTTGTGTTCCTGAAAGAGTTATTGTTCCATTTCATTGTTTGAGAGAGAGAGAGCGGTGGAGGGCAAAGAAAAAGAGTAAAAATACTCAAGTTTTGATGTTTTACACCGTTTATATCTCATTTCTTGTTACTACGGTTGCAATGAGCAGCTAAAATTTGTATGAGATTGAATGTAAATCTTTAAAATTAATATATTCTCAGTAATTTATATAAATATAATTATTTTTCTTTATTTCTGTCGATTTGGTGATTTCAATCTGTGTTAATGTTTGAATTTGTCTATTTGATAATTTCTTTAGCTCATATCTGAGAAGGTATTACTTAGATCCAGATCTGATTGAGATTACTTAATAACTGGTTATTCTAATAATAGATTTTAAGTTATTGATTGCTTTTAAATCTTGAT